ATTTCAAACTTGCTTGTGCAAACAGTGGTTTGCACAAAACTAATCTTGACAATGCCTTCTAGAAGCAATGGTTTCTATAGCCTGAAATGATACTGAGATTGACATGATCTTGGCTCCCTAATTACATCAGAGTGGGATTTTCTACTCCTAATGCTTAAGTGCATGTCAATACCAAGACAGATTGCAATATGCATATTACTATGCCAAGAAATCACTTTAAAATTATTCAATGTAATCTGTTAATAATTGAGTAACTTCTGGTAAAGAATTATTAAAACAACATGAATTCATCACTTTAAAAAAAGAATTAATAAAAACCAAAAAGGTATATGAAATTCCTTTATATACCAAAAAGGTATATAAAGATCTAAGCAACCTCACCCTGAGAAATAACTGAACTCCTGAATTCTAACATAACTATCTTAAAATGCTTGTATTTTAAAGACTACTGGATTGCTTTCTAAATCACATTCCTTTCATCCACAATGCTTATTCTGTTTTTCATTTAAAAACAGGGGGTTTATCTGCTCCAATATGGGGTTCTCTTTTCCTAGCAAAAATAACATTCTAATATTTAATATACACTTTAAAACTGATGGGCATCAGTGTTCCAGACAGGTTTCACTAACTGGAGATATATTTGCTACCAGGGTAGGATAAAAACAGGAGGAGGAGTGCAGAAATAAGAGAGTTGCTATGCCAACCTACAAATGCTAATGGCATGACAAATACCAAAAGGTCACATAAAAAAAATAGAAAGAAATGCTCTGATCATGAAGTATTTGTATTTAATTTAATAAACAATGTAGCTACTCTTTTTAAGTTCCTTCAAAACAATACAGTTTAAAAATAAGAAAATACAGCCCGGTAACACACTGAAAATCAGGTTGTCTTTGTCCTTCCTTTGATTTATCACTTAAATGCGTTATTCTTCATCATCCATATGAAAAATATGATGTTTTAGGAAAAAGTTACATATAAATGCTGAATGGATTTTTGCCTGGAAGTAGATCACATATTTAAATACAGAGTAAAAAAATAAAATTTAAAAATGAGTAAAAAGTGCATCGTGTCTAGTTTTATATTAATTAGATCATGCAAAAAGATATTTTTGTCATTTTGAGATAGAATTCTGTAACAAACTCAACACCTACCTTCCACTGAAAATGGGAAAATGCTAAATGCAATTTTTAAGAAATCTTTTAGGTGGACTTTCAGTTGATTTTCAAATATTTGGTTGTGCTTGATTAAAAACTTAAAAAAAAAAAAAAAAAATCCCAACTGTTCTGAATGTTCTTCCCCTAGTCTTCTAAGGTGTATTATGGCAGATATTAGTAATGACTCCTGTACTCTCAAATATAAGAGATGTATTCAGTAAAGTCTTTTACATAAAATGCCTACAACAGAGACTGTTTGTTACAGAATTCAAGTCCACCAAAAATACAGAATGGGTTTTCTTTCTTACTTAAAATATGGTTTCAATCTGGTTGAAACGCCAACCATTTAAAATTACTGTTTTCTTTGTCTTTCTAGTACTCCAAAGAGAGCAGTAACAGAATGCCAATGACTTTTCCTGGGTCAAACTCATGTCATCACCAGGGCAAAGGAACAGTACTGGCACGTAGACAGACTACTGTGGACATCAGAGCATCCTCAGAAAGCCCATGGGAGAAAAGAGGACAGCTGGGCCACAGCATCCACTAAAAGTTTCAAATATAATCAGTGTTCTGACCAATTTATCACCAACTTTTTGAGTGGGCAACAGAAAACACAGAAATTTTAGTGTAACTCAAGTTTTCTAGCACAGAATTGCAAATCTAAGAAAAAGTTTTACATAAGCTTTGGCTGAGCATTCAAAGAGAAATTAGTTGCTCAACCTTTTGAAGATCACCCATGGCTAATTAAAGACCTGCCAAGGCTTTACTAACAATTAAAAACTTGCCTTTAAAATCCCCAAAGAGGAAAATGCAAACAGCTGTTTTAATTAGCAAAACAGCAGATACTAATTAGCTTCTGTAACAGAGTACGCTGGTCCTTTAAGGACAGGACCAATTTCAGCCCAAGTTTGTTACCCATTTAAGCTACAAGTAGAAGGACTGGAATCAGACGCTGCAGAAAAAGCTAATTCCTCGTGAAATCAGTATTTCCTAATTTCAAGTACAGAAAAGAGAGATTTTTATTTTGAGTAAACTTTCATGCTTATCCATCTTTTAGTTTCTTATCTTTCCAGAGCTTAGTCATGTACAGACAATTGAGCAGGGACTGAGAGCACTTGAAATGTCTTGTGATGACCCCATGGGGATGAAAATTGTGACATCTCACCTTCTGGCAAAAGGCCACTGTATCTGGACAGAGTAACACTAATATGTGCACATTTGCACAGCAAACCCACGGAGTTCAGGCTGCATCAAGTCTGCTGTGAAAGCTGATTTGGGCACCTGATGCAGAGTTGTGACAACTGACCACATCTTTCAGTTCTCCCAATCTTTTGGGACTGGCTCTGAATAACTAAGAAATCTCAGATGAAAGAGAAAGGGATGGAGAGAACAGGAGAGGCTGGAATTAGCCTTTTGCTACATTCAGGGCACAGATCCTTGGATAGCAGCAGATATGCTCTTACAAGATAATCAAAATACACTGATTGTCAGTACACTGCCATTTCTAAAAATCAGTTTCAAAGCTAAAAAAACTTAAGTCTCATCCCATAAGAGCTATATCTCTACAGTTAGGTATTTTGCTGTTAGTGGGGTCAGTTGGTAAGGGTATGATTGATAATAAACAGGAACATGCTGCAAGTAGAAGACACAGTGTAAGTGCCAAATGTGAGATTTAATAAAAGAGCTTAAAAGGCAATCTATTTGTACTATCTACACAGAGTGAAAGAATAACTGAAAATATAGGTATGAAATAATAAACTCAAATAACTACAAAAATAGTATATCAAATAACTTTGATATCAGTGATATCAAATAATTCTGATATATGTGTTTGAAAACACCACACAGTGGTGAAATCTTTCTTCCAAACATCTGGAAGATGCTTATCTTTCAGGAGTTGTGTTTGAAAAATCTAGAACTGTGGCTGATATTCCAGCACTGTAGGCCAGGACAGATCAATAGGTGTAACTGGAGGATGACAAAGGCTGCTCTTTTACCATCCACACATGAATGTGAAATGTGTGTTCTGCACATTTCACATTCATTGCTCAGTTACCAAGAGCAGGCAGCACTAAAACACCACCCTTCAAAAACCATTCTGGGATTCTGGTTATTGAATGGCATTCTAAATAAAACCAACAACATTTATTGATTAACACAAGGATTATAATGATAAAACATTTTGACAAAATATAGACATAACTATGACTGTAACCCTACAAGCAGGACTGTTAAACTCATTTCCCTCAAATCTCTAGCAATATTATGGGATTCAGCTAACCACAAATACAGCTACCCAGGAACCTATTGTTTCTACTTGTGTTCATGCTTTTCATTACATATTTTAATATCTCAGATCCACCTGGTAAATGTTTTCTAAATATTTTTTTGTCTTTGTATAGCATTTCAACATCTGATTTTCGAAACGATAGGAGGATCCTATCGATCCTAGTATTTGCCTCCTTTGAGGCAATTACTTTGCAGTGGTAAAGGAAAAGAAAAAAATATGCAAAGACTGCTATATGAAGATCTTCAGAGTAAAACACCTGCTTCATAGAAGGTGAGTAATGTTATTTAAGAGGGTATAACCTCAACTGCATGCATGGTCTTGATGTCTGTTGCTTTCTCTTCAAATTAATATTCCTTTGTCTACTGATTAGAGAGGAATAATAATATTTTCAGCATGATGAGAGTATGTCACAGCAGAACTATAGTTTCTCTAACTTGTTCTATGTATTAAGGTATATAATGTACATTCAGATTCACGATTTGCTAACTATTTTTCTAGTGATAATATACACAAAGCTCAAATGTTTTCTCTCTTGCTGTGTTCTGTTTTTCCCAGCTTAAAATGCAAATGAGACATTTGGTTGAGACACTCCTGTTTTTCCAGTGAACAGAAGATGTGGCACTGTTCAAGCACTGTTGCTTTAGGGCCCCACCCAGCTCATGCAGAGGGTTCAAATGGGTTCAGTGAAATGATAAAGACATTTCTGGAGAGGGATTTTCATTGAAAATGCTTTTTAATTAAATTTTATTTACTGATGTGATCAAGATTAACTGGCCTCAGGACAGACTAGGATCTTGTCCTTTACTAGAACAATATTTTTTATTCTCATATCACAGAAACAGGTCTATGAGGGTTTACTTCTCACTGAAACAATATTGATAAAAGCAATTCACTTTTTGTATTTCCCAAGTAGATTAGTACCTGTTTAAACTTCACAGTAAAGCTGTTTAAATTGAGCTAGATTAAAAATCTTTGTATTAAGAACAAATTATTTATGAGCTACTGAGATGCATCTAACAGTTCCAAATCCACTTCAGCTTTTTTAAATTAAGCTTGGACCTAAATGCCAGAGAGGTAAAAATAAAGGAAGTACATCAAATGACAACCTTTTAGAAAGGTGAATATTTCAATTTGGGAAAAAAAACAAAACAAAACAAGATAAATATGATATACAAACATTACCTGAATATCCTGTTTCCATTTAAAGATTATAAGTACAAGGTTACAGGAAGAGACCATGGATTAATTCTCATTAGATAAAAATGAATAGAGACCTAAAACTGAGGTCCCTTTAAGTCCTATTTTTAATTCTAGGATTTCCACGTTAATTATGCTGAAGCTTTTCCAAACCTCAAGTCTGGAAATAAATTTTTTACTTATCTTAAGTAAATATGTCCTGCTTGTACATATCCCCCCAGTAAGACAGCATAATGACTGAGTAGCTTCCACCTGCTACAACTACTGCAAACTTTTCCTTGCAGTAGTGCTCCTTGCAGAGAAAACAACCTATGGAAAAAACACACTAACAGTGCAAGAGAAGAAATCTTACTTACGAGTACTTTGTCAGCAGCTCCAAGTTATTATGCATGTTGATTGGATAGGTCTCACTGAGATGAAACAGCTTCTCTAAGGCCTCATAAATGAAAATGATGCAGATAAGAGAAGCAAAGGCTTCTTCAGTAAACCGGGTAATGTAGCAGACTAGGGAGCTTGCATCAGTTGCAACAAGGATGATGCACAGGATTGCAGTCCACAGCCCAATGCTGGCTCTCAGAGAAAGGTATGACAACCCATACTCTCTAAAAAGAAGGGAAAAAAACACCAACTCACTCAACCTTTTGTCCAGCCACAGTAAATGGAGACAAGGCAGTTCCAAATGTTCCTTTTTGGGGACAGTCTGAGTCAGAAATTATGTACTTAATGTGAACAGAAGATCCTATCAAGTCACCTCCTGACCAGAGCTCTTCCCCCAATTAACAGGACACAAAGAGTTCTATCTCTATTAAAGTGATCACGTGAGCAGCTTTGAGAGTAGTCACACACAAAGTGTATAAGGTCCACTCACTCTTTATCCCATATCCTGCTTTGTGAACAGCCAACACCTGTCAATTTCTTTTTAAGCTGTGAAAGAGTAGCTATAACAACTTTCATCAAAATTCTGTAAGCTTGCTGCATATGATAATAGAGCTCCAAACACACCGTGTGACATTATCACAGCAAGCTGAAAGGTCTGTCTGAAGGTGCGAGAAAATTTGAGTGCTAAGCGGGGTTTCTACTCTGTGTTGTGCAGGAGATCCTGGTACAGAAGTCCCTGTCACAGCAGTGAGGCAGAAAAGCAGACTGGATAGCAGAGAAGCATGATGGCTTCCAAATGGAGACATAATTTTTACCCACACTGTGGCAGAGACATGACAAGTACAGCACATGAGCCTAAATGTGGCTCTTGTGGCATGACAGCTCATCCCCTCTCTGTCCAGGTGAGGGAACGGCATGGTCTATATTAGTGACTGTTGAAATAGGGACCACTCCTACTGCATGAACTTTCTTGGTGACAGACAACACCTTTCGAGTTAGGGATGAGATAAACCACTGATTTAAACGTATTGTCTCAGAGTAGAGAAGGATAAAATTCAAAAAACCAAACCAAAAAAATACCCACAAACATCCTGAAGCAGTCATTCCCTTCAAAACAGGGGCGGGAAGAAGGGAAGAAAGGGAAGGAAGGCTTTGAAAGCAACAAAAGCCCAAAATCTAAGAAAATTCACCTTTCTGCATTACCAATTCACTGCATAATTTTTGGACTCTGTAACATGATAAAAGCAATAATTTATCTTGTAGTGCACTGCTTAGGATTTAAGCTCTGGGATAGGTGTCTCTACTTTTACCTAAAACAAATGAAGGATGAGGAGTATCATGATCTTCACTTACTTGCAAAATTTGAATAAGATCTTCTCAAACACTAAAACTGGTCCTGTGCTGCCAAGTATAGTGAGAGGCTGTCCACCAAAAAGAGAGTAGGCAATTCCAGTCATGGATGCTCCAAACAGCGATTCTATTGCACTCTGAATATGATACAGAGAGAAGTGTCCATAAATTTTCAAACAGGTTCTTTTTGTAATGTCTTAGTCTGTAGCCTTCTAAACATTGAAATACCAATATATAAAGGTGATTCATGCAACAGTAAGCAAATACTAACCACAAAACTAGGAATGTAAGTTTGTTTTAAAAGTTCAGACTTAACACATACTATACGACCTTCAGTTGCTTCTCCCAGTAGACCACCAAATGTGATGACAGGAGACATGCAAGCACAGTAGAGAAACAAAAATGATGCCAGACACTGCAGACTGAGAGCATCCCTGAAGTCACTCCAGAAGAAGGGAGCTTTTCTTTTGATATCTAAAATTAATCCTCCAAAAAATCTGAAGAAAACATAGAAGAGCTCAAATCAATTAAGGTGGCACACAAAACTTTCTTTTACAGTATTGCTTCAATCACACTGCAGAGATGCTACTGTTCCCTGATCAAATGATACATACTTTTATGTTTCACCCTGCATAAAAATAAGTTTATAGGAAGCCTGTCTTTGTACCTTCAAACAGGAAATTATTGTGTTTTTAAAACAAACTAATTTCCATGTCACTTTTATAAAAAAAATCTTCAACTAATCACCCAGACACCAAAGTTCTGAACAGTTGCTTGCTCCCATGCACTAAATCAAACTGTTTATTACATGAAATAATTCTTTACATGTGTTTAATTAGAGAGGTATTACAGTGCCTATTTGCCCACATCAGCTTCACATTCTTTATTTATTAGAACCTGTTTATTTATTAGAACTTTCTTTATTAGAACCTGTTCCTAAATACGCTTGATGATAGAAATGAATATATGCTACCATTTTTCAAGGACAAGAACTGTCATCTTTTGTCATTTACACTGTGTCAAGTATAATCAAATATTTAGGAACAGACGGTCCCTTACAAAATACCATACAGCTAAAGTAAATAACCCCACAATTCTCTTTTCCTCACAGGCACACAATGTATCAGATGCTGCTGAGGTAAAGAAGGTGTAGTGCTACCTCCTAAATATTAAAACAATCATTCAAGCTGTCAATTAGTAGATTCTCTAGTGAGAGCAACTTCCAGCCAGACTGGCCATCACCTCCCCTGCCCCAGTGTACTCCAGCACTGCAGCTGAATCTTTAGCTTCATGCTAAAGGCAGGAAAAGTATTTAAATATCAGGAGGCAGCAAAGTAAAACATCGATTGCCCAACTACACTGCACTAAGGCAGCCAGAGACAGCTAATGCACTTACACCACACCATATCAGATGAGAGAAAACAAGTATTCCTCGGAGCAAATTCTTCATTCTATATATTGCAGCCACCAGGGTAACCACAGCCTCACGTACCAGCACATATCATGGCTTAGTGAGGTAAAAAAGAAATGCTAGAGCTGGACAACCCAGAAACTTGAACTACAAGACAGCTGTAAGTATTCATAATATATGGCACAATACTGTACCAAGTTTCCCTTCATCCTGTACAGAACCAAGAAACATTAATCAAGTTTAAGAAAGGTCTGGCCTTTGTAAATATTAGAGAAAGAAGCTTGCAATAAATACAATGAGAAAACTCAAACCCTCTTGCCCTCTCCTGCTCTCTGCAAATGAGCATGTATTGTCCTCTTCAGCTACGTGGCACATGCAAATCAGGACAAATGCCTGAAAGAAATTATGCACCGAGACACTTCTGAGAGAGAAGCAGACCCTTGTGATTCCTTTTGAACATCACTTTGAACACTTAAAGATTGTGAGTATGTTTTCACTAACTTTCCAGTGCGTTGCAGTTCTGGTCCAGAGTGTCCCCCAGGATGTTCTGCTTCCCCATGGGCTGCAGTTCCATTTGGCATTCCTGGGATCTTACGCTTCTCCTAACAGAAGGAAAAGATATTTCTTGTGGGTTTTAGTATTGAAACAGGCTCTGAAAGTTAAAAGCTTAAACATAAAAATTTCATTTTAAGATTCATCAGCATAACCTTCTCATAAGCTGTAAAGGAGTTCTATTACCAGACAGTTAATTGTAAAAAGAATTGTGATTCTGTGAAATTTAAAGAATTGATCACCAAAAATCTTGCATCAGAAAACATTTTAAGGAGTAACAAGCCTTGATCAATTCTTGCAATAATCTTAGAACAGAAGCAAACCATGGCTATTTGGAACAATCAAGGATGCTTAAGACTACTTATCCCTGAATTTAGTATCTTTAGATACAACTGCCTGTATTTACTCAGGAGAGAACTAGTACTGAACTAAACCAAATGTCATCAGTATACTGTATGTTTCCAAGTCAAGAGTTCTTCTAAAATTAACCTAAAATAAAAACAGCATGCAAAACATAGTGACTCTGCTAAATGCTAAATTAATGAGACTTAAATCTACATAACAAAAATTCATCACAACTTTTTTAAGTGTCTGAATTTTACACTGTACAAACCTGAGAGGGAACATTTTTAGGTGGTTCTATTCGAATTGTTGGGTCCCACTCTCCAGGAGGGAGAACAGTAACCTGATCAAGAAACTCATCAATTCCAGACACCAAGTCATTGCGGTCCTTTGCTTTGTAAGCAACATCATGGAATACCTGTGAAAAATTGAGAAGTGTGTGTGGGAGGAAAAAGAGATTGAAAAAGGAACTCTCTCTAAAATAATGGCCCCACTTCTCTGAAATAGAACACACTTTGTAAAGTTCCCTCTGAACAATCACAGCTTCAACTGAAAATCTGAAAATAGCTTCCAGTACTTAAGTTCTCATAGAAATTCCAGCTGCTACAGGAAAAGATTCTTATGGCTGCTAAATATTTGAGAGATTTTGCAGTTTAAACAAAATTAAATCCACTGGAAAGCAACTGTGGAAAATGGAACCTTACTGGTGCAGACATCTTCGCTTATGAATATTGTTTCTCATTTTGTTATCCCCTTATGCAGCATAATCTGGGCTGTCACAGGATCATGAAATGAGTTAGAATGCTCGTTGTCATCACCAGAATGATTAGCAACTTTTCATCTGAAGGATTGGAGATTCCCTATTACACCTCTTCAGTTAGTACAAAACTGAACCATGAATAAAAATACCTCATCTGTCATTAGTGTTGCAATTGATCTTCCAATCTCATGGTACTGTTGGCCTTTACCCAGTGGTCCAAGAAGAATGAACAAAAATCTGCAAATTAAAAATAAATTTCAGAAATCATAAAGCACAGATGGTTGAAAATTAATATAAATATTACAGAAATATTTATCTAAAATGTGGACGGGAAGAATCTCTCAGATAAACACTATATATAATCTCCTTCAAGATCCTCACACATGCATTTAAACATGAAGCTTTGCTTAGAAAAAGAGTATGAAAATAGCTTCCAAAAATATATCACAAGCTTAACAGTCAGTCTTGATTGAGGCTACCAAAACTTCCTTACATAACAAACCTTAACTTACATAATAAATGTATGCAATTGTAATCTATGTACAGAACACATTATTTAATTCTGTTAATTCAACAGAATGGCTATGGTTACATAAATTATTGCAACATTGGATAAGTTAAATTAACCCAAATAAAATTAATTTTTAAATCATTTTAACTCTCATTAAGGCTCTGGACAGTCTCTACTTGAGGCTGTAAGCAAGTAAAGTTCCATAAAAGGCAGAAGATTTGTTCAAGTGAAATAACTAAAATTCTCAGTTTTGCTAAAATGCAAAATACAATATTTTTATGTGTATTACTTTTTTTTTTTTTACATATAAATTTTTGCAGAAATATTTAACTGTCTTAATTTGTAACTATTTTTATTTTGACCAAAAATCAAGAAATCTCGTTTTTTCCTTTTGGTGGGTTTTTTTTTTTGGGTTTTTTTTTTTGTTTTTTTTGGTTTTTTTGTGGGAATTTGGGGGTGGTTAGAAGGAAAAGCTTTTTCCAAAGCCAATTCACTCCCTCAGTGTTTCTTATACACATGCAAAAACTAGAAAACATCAAAAAAATAATATCCAAAGTAACTACAAAGTACAGTTCAAAGATGATGTTTATCTGGTTAGAAGCAAGGATCTGAGTCTCAGCATTGCAGCATTTCTTAGCATAACATGAGAGTCACATGTGAGTGTCCTGAGCATCTCAAACTGGAATACATTACTGCCTACTGTTGGAATTCCACCTTCATAGAAACTAAAAGAGTGAAGGGGAAAGAAAGACAGAATGTGTGTACAAACATAGGCGCAAATTAATAAAAGAAAAGGTGGGGGGCGGGGGGTGGATTCTGCAATAATAGTTAAGTCAGTGAACACAGATACGGGAGAATCAGTCTGGAGTTTTGATCTGAATTAACCTCAGCAGGACACAATGTAACTGCAGATCTATCCCAATGTCTTCTATTTGAAAACAAGGTCTATTTTAGACTTTTTTTTTAATGCCTCATGATTTTTGTTCAGAATCAAAGTACCCCATCAGAAAAAGTTTCAACATGGAAAAAATTAATCTAAAAAAATAATTATGATTAAAAGTCACATTCCCTACCATGCAAAGTACATTTTTGAAGAAGTAAAAATTTTTGAAGAACAAATTTACAGCATGTTGTCCATCCACTCATTCATTCACTATCCCTAGTCAACCAAATCACACAATTTACTTTTTTCCTTTTCTCAATTCCTTCTTCATTTTTTTACTTCTGTACATAATTATGCAGTATCACACAAGTAGTTTCAGTTCCGGGTGAAATATTCTACGAAGCTGAATATTTCACCTTAGTGAAATATTTCATCTGGAGTAATACCAGTTTGTATAGGATAAACTGTGTGTTGTAACCTACATTTCTACATCTGTGAAGTACTCAAAACTAGCATGAGTCTGAATATATCCACACATCATTTACAGGGTGAGTGGAAGGCGGAGAGATGTCTTTGTTAAAGAGCAAACTGAATTCCTCACTCAGTAAAAGGCAAAGCCAAGGGTCACATCACACTGTCCCCACAAGGTACTCAGGAAAACGCAAAGCAAAATCAGCCCAGCTGTACCTGGTTGGAATTGGAACTTCAGCCAGTCCTGTAAGCAGCACTGCAGGAGACAACCTAACAAAAGCCACAACGGCTCGGTCCAGGAACTCGAGTTCACCAACTAAGATGTTTGACGCTTCAGCTCCAGGTGGTATCTTTTTCATGAAGTGTAGGTCAACCTGGGGAAAGTATATTAAATTACAACCTAAAAGTTACTCATAGGGTTTTTTTTCCCCCTGCTTTGTTGACAGAAACTTGCTGATTACTGCACTATAACCTTGGCTATTTCAGTTATACAGTTCCACCGTTCTCTTCTGTTGAATGGTTGTTTTTTTTAATAAAAATGATTCTCTAAACCAAACTGGACATTAATTACTTGGCTGATTTTTCTTGGAAACAAAGTACTGCAGAATTAATTTATAAAGACAACAAATCAAACTCAAAATATTTTTAAGAATATAGGATTCATTTCCTAGTAATGCTTTTTATCTATACTCATAAGAGCATGCGTACTTAATAACAACCATAACAGTAGAAGAAATTAAGACATCTTATTTTTCCATAATTAACAATTCTGGAAATCAGTTATTTGCAGCTCACAGTTGTTGTGTTATTATCTCACTGAGAAGACCACTAGATTCCACTACACACAATTTTCCTTTTTCTACTTTGAGATGCATTTTTGGTTTCAGGTTTTGCAGAAGACAGATGCCCTTTGGCTGAAAGTAACAGAATATAAGCTATCATGAGCACTGGCAGTCTCAAGAGCAAATGGAAAGAACAAAGCAGAAGAAAAACTGGAATTTTAGGCAGTGATGCTGACTTTTGCAGGATGATAGAAAAACAGAGACACAGCTTCACCATGACATTTGTGAAGGATTGTATGACTCTAGGCTTCATTCTGTAACAAAGACTGTCATGGAGTAATAAAGTATATAATGTATGTCTGATTTAATTATGCAGCAGTATTGTCTACATTTCAAAATGCATGAATTTTGTCATTTGCTTTCCTTTTATTAATCTAAACACAACAACAGCAACCAAATCCAATATAAACTGTTAAAGTGGACCATTTTAATGTCTATCTTACAGCCATCTGTCAGTAGTAGTTTGCATAGTTTTTGGTAATATTTAGAAAATTGTTTTCTTGCAAATGGCTCTGGCACTAAATCAGAATTCAGATATAACACAGTTGCCTGTGTAATGAAATCTTGGTTTTCTGAGATCACAAAGAGATATCTATGCTTCCCTAAGCTACAAAAATGACTGAACACCTCACAAAGTTAAAAAATAATCAGATCTACCTGGAAGATTGGAGACCAAGTACTTTTCAAGGTAAATTGAAAAAGTGAGGTAAATTCTGCTCTCCACTCAAATAATGAAATAACTCTTCAGGATTAAATACGTAACTAAGATTCACTCCGCACCTAATTTTGTGTCACAGGTTATTTGTAACTGAGAGGAAGAAAGCAGTCTTTCAGGCATGTAGAAATCTGCATTCTGTGCTGAGTTTACCTTGTGAATGGATGGATTTAACATGTAAATGCATTTAGCATTTAATAATTAATGTATAATTTCAATAATTAATTAATGTATAATTAATTAATAATTAACTGTAGCATAACAATGTGCTACAGTTGTGACATAGAGGTCCTCTAACATACAGATCACAAAATTCAAATTTGAAATAATCATTCTGTCTCCTGACTACAAGAAATTATTTCCAGATATTTCCTGTACTATTTATCAGCTTGGGATTCTAATATTGTCTGGTATTGTTTAGGTAGTGAAGAGAGACCCATTAAAGGAGCTGGCAGAGGAGCAAACTTAGCAAACACACCCAAACCCCAAAGGAACTGCTTTCACTGCACAATGAGAGTGGAGGTGGTCCTGGAGTTAATTTATGGCAGTGGCAGAAGCTACGTATTTAGAATGCTTCATCTAACCTATCCATAATATACCTCTTATCCCAGGTCTTTAGCTGGAGAGTCCTGATGTGCATCTTAATCTACACCCTAACCTGAGTCACGTTCCTGACCTGACCCTAAATAGTCCAGGCAAGCTTCAATTAAATATAAAACTGAATAACTAATGCAGGCCCACATCCCTCCAGGGCAACTCAAAGACTGAGAGTGGTGGACATCTAACCTGAAACCAAACATAAACTGACACGAAGACAAACTAAATACCCAACATCCCTTCCTAGTAAAACATATTAATCAACTGTATTTATAAGCAGGGTCCACCAGCATTCAGCACCAGTCAGTTGCTTCCCATGGTATTTGAAAGACCAAACTCTGTCAGTATGGGACAGGGGGCTGTCTCAGAAATAAAGATTCCACACAGAGCACAGGAATGTTGCTGTGAGAAGGGATGTGGGTACAGTCTCTTTATACATTTTGTGTTTCAGGACAATTAATGTTCTCTTCAGTCTTTGGCATAAAAAGTAAAAATGAGCCAGCTGAAGTTCTTAAACCATCACCCCCATTCTGCTCAGACAGGGGGTAAATGGTGCTGTGACAGATCACCTCCACCTCACCCTGAGAACACCAAGTCCTGGTGGTGGCAGCAGAGGAAGAGGAGTGACACATTTACAAGCAACACAAACCAACTCTCCATGCTACTGAAGTGACACTCAAGACAGCTTTCAGTGCCTGTCTCACATTTTTCATAGGTAGGTACCAATACAATCAACACAGTCTCAATGCTGTATCCAGATTAAGTCAGCTTTTTGAATCAGCTCCAAAGCTGGAATATTAGACATAGCCCAAGGGAGACAGATGAGCAAGGAGAGAATATGTGAGGTAGTCAAAGGTGCTTTTTTTGTAGAAGATAAATGAAATTAATATCTGGAACAAAATTAGAGCAAGAAATCACAATACTCAAGAGAAAATTAGTGTACTGCTCTACTTTCCTCTCAATCTGTGCATATAATTCCAATTATAACCATTGGGAGTTATTGCAATAGCACATTTCAAGGGGAAACTGCACTTATGCATCTTCAAAAGGATAAATGGATCTATTTTAAGTCAGTCAAAAAGAAAGGTATTGGATTACAATCCTTTACTGTTATTTCATTCCTCCTAACAAAAGTTGTTCCTTTCATATTCCTGACTTCCTTGTTGGTATTCATCACTGTTGAGGTTAGAAAAAGATGAAATGTTGATTTCTTCCAGCTAGTTTAAATGGGAATAGCTCTTTTGATCAGCAAAGCTTCAGCACTACAAAAATAATGAGTGAAGGATCAAATGATGCAGCTTCCATTCTTGTTTAATACAAACAAAATTGCAGTTAGACAACTGACTGGGATTTGGATCCTACAACACTCAAAGCAACTGGAGAAATGTTCAAGAAAAGCGCTACTGAAACTTAAGTCATTCCCTTCACTTTTGCATAGCTTAATTGTGAATAGACTATTTTATTTATATTTTCTAACCTCTACAAATTTTACATCTTGATATTAGAATACTTGCAAAATGAATTAGTTTTCCTTAAGACTTTAATATAATTATCATGAAACCAATATTGTATTTGGCTCTTTAAAGCATTATAATTTTAGTTTGAAATATGTTTAAAGGATTAATATTAAATTTTTAACAACCTGCCACTGTTTATAGATGTTCTTCCGGCCTCAACAGAAATGTGGTTCATAATACATTCCCAGCCAGCTTCCTTTTTTCTCATTGTCATTGACAGAAAGATCAGTTTCCCCTTTTATTTCAGCCATATACAATTCATAGTCTGGAATGTTCAGTCTAAAATTCAAATGATGCAAATAGCTACTGCTGCTAGGAAATAAGTCTGGCACCAGATGGAGCAATCACATAACTCTACTTTTAGCTCAGCTGCACTAACATTAAAATTCAACAGACTCAAAGTGCTGTTCATCAGAATTTTGGTTTAAATCACCTTTCTTCACTTACTCAACCTTTGTTGCACTAATGTGTCAGCTGAAGCCATCTATCCCTGTCAGGCCTGTCATCTGTATCCATTGTGACTGTCTTAGGTACACACAGACTTCTTACACAAATTAGGATTCTCCTCCACATTAAAGCTGAGAAGCTGTTTGCTTTTCTTTGCTATCTAACATTGAACTGTCATTGCAGTCTCCACTACTGAACAGTTAACATCTTTTGTAAAGTGTACTGAAAGATCTTGGCTTGCCAGAAGAATTAAGTTATAGGTTTACAGAAACACATTCTGTTTGAGACATCTGGAATCCACGAGTTCAGGTTATAAAAAGCATAGTTTGCATTCACACATCACTTCTACAGAAAGTCAAAATCTGAGGTAAATGTGAATTATAGGAATTCTGAATTACTTTCCTACTTAGATAATTTTCTGTTAATTTGTAAAATTTCCCCTACAAATATACACCTATGATATTAAATTTATCTGTGTTCCTAAACTGTGATTTTTCTCTTACATATAATTTAGAAAGAAAATGTAAGATTCTGTTTTGTCATACAGAAACTATACTGCAGTGCACACAAAACTTCAATGCTAAAGTAAAATCTACACTTTACAGATTTTCCTGACTTGCATTGATTAATTTTATTTAATTTTAAATATCTGTTTGGCAGTCAGGAAGCTCTCTTCACCATCAGTAGTGAACACTTACCTTGCTAAAGTCAACAGTGCTGTTTTCTCTGCTCACATCATTTTTGTTTTCAATACAGGCTGGAGTAGCCTGTGGGGAAACAACCTGACCTGCTAAAAAAAAGTATCATTATTACAGAATACTAACAGTTGTATAAATAAAGCAACATCCAATAACACAATTATTAGAGCTCTGCATACATTTCATATGATAGATATATGAGGCACCTAAACACAGCATTTCAATTAAAAACTTATTTAGAATAGCACATTCTCAAAAGATAGAACATTCATCATGTGTACTTAGGAACGTGAGAAGGTAATTTTGAAAATATAAAAGATGCAATTGGATATTAGAAGACAAAACTTCTATACCAATTAAAGCATACAATTCTAAAGATATACATTTGGGGAAAGTCCTGCCTTCACATAGCTTTTGTAAACAATTTGAGGAGCTGCCAGTTTTGGGTAATATGTGTCTACAAAACTATTCCTCATTAACCTAAATAGGATTACAAATTTTTACAAAGTTACTCGTGTATAAGAATGTCCTGATTATAACAACTACAAAAAACAACACAAAAGTGGACTGGTATAAAAAAATATATATTGGAAAACAACTGATTTACAAGCTCAGTATTGAAAAATGTGATTATGGACATGTATAAAACAAATGCTTCAGTAAACACATTTTTTTAAAAATTCCACTGAGGATTTAGTAAAATATTTTAAAGAAGTTTTAAAAATATCTCAAGATAAGAAATGCTTAAATACACCTCAGTCTTGTGGAAACAAAGAGCAAGTCTTTTGGCAAACAGGATTTTGCCAACAAAAGCTCAAAAAGAAAAAACCAAGTCTATGTCATACAAAGCATATTTTTACTTAAAGCCAACATTGTCCCTGCACATGGCCAGAGCCCACTGTGCCCACATCGAGGGAGTGGGGCTGACACAAACCCCACAGGGCACAAAGCCCACAGGGGCACTGGCCATGCCTTGCTTGCCTTCACTCCTGCTCCCTCTCTGACACGTCAGAAGCCACACACAGCTCTGAGCACCACAGTAAAGTACAAGAGAAAGTACCAAATATATGAGCCAACTATCTCTTACTGCCCTAACACATACCCAGGAATAACTACAGAGTCCAGCTGGCCCAGAGTCAGCATCTCGTGCCCAGCATATATTTGTTTCCATAGCGAATAAAGTCTTTCATATGACTGAGAAATGATGATGTGAAAACATTGGTTCTGGTGAAAATCAACCTAAACTTGCACAGTAACAAAGACCATATGTTCATGATATTTGAAGATGAAGACAGTCAGAAGTCCTAAGCTAGGCACATTGTCTGGGCAATTCCAAAAGCCACAGTGTGGCCCCTCACACTGCTGGGGCTCACACCTGCAGCCCAGGCACGTCCCCAGCCACAGCCTGGACACCGAGAACTCTGCAGGATCCAGCCTGAGCAGGACAGACACTTGTAAGAGCCCCTCAGCCACTGCCAAAATGCTGAAGTATCCAGTTTCTGTCACAGCTGAGCAATACAGGAACCCTAAGTCTGGTCATGAATTCCCAGCTGAAATACTTGCTCAAGGAAAATGCTGGTTTTCAGGAAAATCAACATGTCATTTTCCACTAGACAAATCTCCCATGACACAAAACAGGTTTTAGACTCATGTGTGCATCCTGGCAGCACAGACAGATAATGCACTTTGATTAGGTAGTACATTAACAAAACATTTAAAAATATATTGCTAGAAATCCTGTCTTTAAACTGCAAGTATTTCCATTTTTCTCTCTGATTCAGGGCACGGACAGATCAAAGTAAGAATAGAAATCAGGGCTTTTGTTTGGCTCTGCAGCGAAATAAACAGAGAATGACAAACAGACATGACAAGCATGTAAATCTAAGCAAGTAGAATAAAAATAAAGTCAGGATTCAAATTTACATATGACAAAAATAAAGGATTGATTTTAGAAATCCACATATTAATGTAAATTAAAGGAATACAAAAAGAGCCTATTAATTCCTACATGTCAACTTTTGCAAAACAGAAGCCAGAAATTATTACATATGCAAGGTATTTACAAACAGTCATTCAATTTGTCTGTTTTAATTAGAAACTGAAAGAAAAACAGAGTTCCATCATTGTTACACCATGATCTTTAGAAAGTGTATTCCGGCCACATTGTAATTCTCTTTCTATATTATTTATTTAGCAGTCCTTGAATTATTTTCACAGGAATCATCCTGTAGTATTACAGCTATTAAAAATCATTAATATAAAAAGTATATAAATTTTATTTCTGTTCTATTTTGGAGATTTTATTAATGTGACAAAAATAACCCTTCCACTTATTCAAATAGAGAAAGCATAAAGTGCTCAGTGAAAGTTTCTGTCTTACTCCCAAAAAACTTAAAATCTAGTAATATAAAACCTGCTGACTCTTCATTTTTTCCTTTGAAACATTCCTCTATACCCTAGGATGTATGAAAAGGGAAATAGTTGTAATAATTACGCATACTAATATATATAATACATTAGAAAGAAGCTACAGGAAAGTAACAGAAATAGCAGTTCATTATCTTTCTGTTGCTAATTAGGCATTTGCACGTTTTTTTCTGGACCCAAAAATTCAAGAAAATGAGAGCAGAAATATCTGCCAGAGAAAAATATAGTGACCAACAAAGGAGTCAAAGCATGGACCACCTGTTTAGATGCTGAAGTTTTAACATCATAATTGGAGGTGTCAAAAGCAATCAGCATAACAGTCCAGAGGACTTTTAAACATTGTGTCCACTTTTTTTTAAGGAGAAAAATATGTAAAGATATACATATAAGGAATAAAAAGCCACCACCAGTAAGGATGTGAAGTTTTTAAGAATAGCATATGTTCTTTTTCTGTGCCAACAGAAGACCTCAAACTTTGATTTACCCATATGCTGGAGTAATCTGAAAGAACACAAGTTTTACCTTGAGGCAGAAAGACATGTTTAAATAGCTCTACAACTTTGGACAGCTTTCTGGATCATGGAACAACAAGTTTGGGTTTTTTACTGTATTGAGTAACAATCAAAGATACAAGGTAGAGACAACAGGTAATCTCTTTTTACAAAAAAAAACCCCCACCAAAGTAACCCCAGACTCTAGCCAGATTTTAAACAGTTGTCATGGTTTATTACTTCTTTTGTTTGAGCTGAAAATATGGGGTTTAGGCTGCTACAAATGCTGAAGGCATAAACCACCAACTTCCTACAAGAGGGAACAAGAACAGCAGCAGCCTCACCATTCCACTCTTTCCTGCCCTCTCCTCACCAGCCCCACTCCAGCACTCCAAGCAAAACGGGTATTTACATGTTGTATGGGGTAAATACAGAATTTTGTTCTTCAAGAGTGCACTGTAATACTTTCAGTCATTATAAAGCTGAAGCCTCAATTTTTCCTGCAGTCTACCTACATAAAGCATGTGAAGAGCTGCATTCTTCGAGAATTCATCAGAGCCATTCACACAGTTTTAGGAATCAAATGCACAGTGTGGTATAATTGAAATATTCAGGGTACATGCAAAGAAACTTAATACATTACAGATAAAACCATGCTATAACTGATGCAACAGCTTTCCTATGTAATAAAAAGCCAGTATCAGCACAGTTTTAAATTTATGTTTTAAAAATTTGCATATATAAAAAATGTGTCTTTTTTAGATAATGTGAAATTGCCAGAACTTTGACTAGAGCAAGAAATCACACAAAAAGCACTCTTGCATGCAAAGTCAAGCCACTTATAAATCAAAATAAGGTCCACATTTGTTACAGCAATAGAAGTTTGCATTTGCAGATACAGTTTGCCATTTTTGAGACAGTCCTGGCAAATTTTTTTAAAAAATCATCTCAGTAAATTAATGTCACATGTAACATATTCTTCCTCCCCAAAATGTAGAACTTAAGACATTTAACTGTGTATTGTGGTTGTTATTCAAAATCCAAGATGTCTCTAGAGCATCAATGACACAAACTCAGAACAGTGTAGTCAGACACAAATCACAGTTAATGGAAATGAACTGGATGCAACCAACACAGCAAAGGAAACTAAACCAGAAAAGAAATTGCTTATTTTTCTAAGCCATACATATGGCTTCCCATTCAGGAAAAAAAAAAAAAAATCCTCATTTTCAAATTTCTTCAGTCTCCAGATTTTTCACTACAACTAGTCACCGATTTTCTAAATCTAAATGGTCAACACTGTCCAGATCAAAACTCAGAGATTGGAAAACAGTATGTTTTCTTCAGTATATGATAAAATTATAATTAACGGAGCATCTCTGCAGGCTGAATTGTATTTATGCCTTTAGGCCTCCTGATGAACAACATTTTCAATCAGTGGAGAATCATGTAACTCCCACTGTACCTCCGTAACTACAGGGAGATTTGATGTTCACTAACGATATACAATTTAAGAGGACGAGGAAGAAGTCACTTTAGCTGTTTTTCTAATGCTAGGTCTGAATATCTCAAGCATAATTCACATGAAGTCATGCAGTATAAACTACAATGCTGTGATTTGCAGTTTTATAAATTGATGCAAGAAAATAAACTTAATAAAGAAATGGCACTGTCCTCCCACCAAAACAACAAATTCCCCAAAAACTTCTCTTCAGTGTGCCACAGCTGCAGACAAAGGCCTGTGGTATTTTTAAAAATCACTATAGCAAGAATTTGCATGCTGACAGGAAATTGATAGGAAGACATGGGTGTACATTTGAAATGATCTGAAGCCCAAGCAAAAATAGGTATTTATACTACCTCTGAACCTTCAGGGAGTTTACAGAACCCAAAGGATAGGAGATGAGGAAGGTACAGAGATGAGATGAGCCTGTTAGAGACAGACACAACAAAGACAGAGCAAAATAAAGAAATACAAAGATGAATGATAGTTTTATACATATAGATTACACATTTTATCATGGGTACCAGGAATGTAGAGAAAGAAAGAATAAATATCAGATGAAAATGTTCATAAATACAACTTATATTTTAGTAGTATAAAAACCTGTGGAAAATACAACCTGATTAAACTATATATTTGAGAATAATCTAAAACAAGAAATACAGCATTAGCAACCTTAAGGCAGAATTAACTATCGTTGAGTTTGTCTTCTCTTCAATGAAAGCTGAAGCAATTCCCCTGATCCATATCCAATACTTCAGAAAACTTGTGAGTATATCGATGGTATTGGTTGTGATTTACTCACAAAATGCAAGTGCATGGTCATATATTTAGGAATTCCTCCCCACCCTCTTCATGGGGCTCCAGGTCATATCCAGCTTTCTCCACGTGATGGTATTGACATGGGAGATTCACGTGCTGTAAGCTTGCTCCAAATCAAGCTGATCTTCAGCAAAGATTGGTAAACTGAAGGAGGTAACTAACACCATAACATAACTGAGAATTTTGACTTTTCAGAATACTGAAGGATGCTATCCTAAATTAGGACAAGCATAGGTTCCAATACCTCTGCTTGTGCTCATGCTGCCACAAAACAATGAAGTCCAAACCAGCCCATCACACTAACTGAAAAAACTGGGAAAAGGTTTAAAAAAAGAACATGTCAAAATGAACAGTTTCAGCAGCTCAAGCTATTAACTTCAGAGATCCCAAATCTAATATGCCATTGCTTCCTTCAAGCTCCTTAGAATACAAATAAACCTCTGCTTGGAATTTCAGAATTTCTCAGAATCAGACATGACACGTGGTGCAACCCAATTTTCACACAAACAATGTGCCTGCTCTGATGTCAAGGGAAAAGAAACTCTTATAAATGGCGTAAGTATGGAACAGAAAACAGGCATAAGATCTTGTTATTGTGGGTAAAGAACACTTCAGCAAGGTGCAGGAAAATAAAAGTAACTTAGCCTCCCATACTCCTCTCCCGAGTTCCTTCCTCTTGGGCTTTAACCAGTACAATGTCTGTTAGATTTCATTAATTTTTTTTTAATATATGCATAAATGAATAAAACATACATGCCCCTAGACCAAAAGTGAAATAGCCAGTCAAAACTTTTAAATGTTTATGTGATGAAAACTTCTTTTCCTACATTTTCACACATCAGTTATTTTTTTGTGCCACATGTGCTTGAACTCTGCATTTCAGAACCCCTTTTATAAAAGGGGAGAGGCTTATGAAATTATTTTAGCACTCCTATAAAACAGAGAGGTGTCATATATTTGCAGTTGTCTTTGGCTTTTTAGGCCACATCATAGGAATTTACAAACACAGCTCAGAGGTATCAGAGTGTGAAACCTACTCATCTCAATAAAAATAGGTTAAATTACTTTATAAAGCAAACTTTCTAAAGATGAATTTTTTTTTCATTTTACCAATGAAAAATTTCATATTTTTACCTGTCTTTTACGGTATTTATGCTAAAATCACTTGCCACCCTCTGCTTTGGGTATTTGGTGTCAAATTAGCCCATAAAAAAAAAAAAAATCATTTTTTCTGCTCTTATGCCAAATTTGACTGTCGTTTTTTATTGGAACATCAAAAGCAGGCTTTTAATTCTCACAGTTTTGATGCCTAATGAAAAGTGAAAGTTAAACACAGCATGGCAGCATTAAAAATGCATGGTAAATCCATAGCACCCTGACATCTTAGCCCTGCAGAGGATGTGAAGAAAAGCCATTGTAAACAAAAGATAATACTACTAAATACAAAGCAAATTAATTAGATGGTCTGACAGATTCATAAACAAAGAAAAATGGAGGGAGAACATATGTACAACTATCTTCCAGCAAAGATATCACAATGGCCTGTCAGTAGTGCTGCCATATATTGAATTAGTTTATGTATTCATTTTCAGACTTTGCTCTTGAACATCTGAAAATTGACACATTGATAAGCTACTATTGTCAAGAACTTGGACAAAGAAGGGAGTTTGAATCCTCAGCTGTACCACATAACCCACAGATCAGGGACTTTGAGCTCTGAATCACCTTTTTTACAATCAACAAACTGCTAAGGATTTTTTCCAGCTCAATTGTCTAACACTAACCCCAAATTTAACCAAAAAGACAGCTTCCTTTTGTGCAGAAAAAGTGTTCCCATGTCTCATTTCAGCAGGAACAAGTGTCCCTTCCAAAGCTGCTGGTCAATGCAGGAGACAGCCAAGCATGCATTAGCACTTCAAGCATGCAAGTAGAAGAACAATGCCTCAAATTGATTTAAAAACATCTCTGTCCAAAAAGTTCATGCTTAGGACTCTTCACTGTAATTTAGATAGAAATCTGATATACTTTCACATAAGCTTCCTGAAAATTATTGAATCTCTATTTTTTACATACATATATAATTTTTATTATGTCTATTAGTACATTGAATTTAAATTAACACAGTAAAAGTGGTTAAGATTTTTTAACAGAAATCAAAGCACTCTGAGACATTTCTACACAAGCACGTGAACTATGCATTTGGCATTTTTTCATCTTCCAAAACAGGGACAGACAAATGAAAAACTGTAATATGTCTCCCTACTTAAGGGGATCGCTTAACCACTGAGTATATAAAATTAGTGTGTTTAATATGGACTTAGATGCTATCCTGATGAGAATTTATTTTTGGAGGAATTTAGGAAGAGCCAGGAAGTTTGCCAGAAGAAACTCAGGCAAAAGCAAGATGTTTCTGGAGTGAATTACTGCATCAGTTCCACTAACAGACACAAAGTTACTGAAATTGAGCTCATGATAATTTCACAGCTTGCCCTGAAGGTTCTTCATGAAGCAACTAATGCCTATTTATTACATAAGATCTAGTGCAAAAAAGCTTAATGGAATGCAAGCTGCCATCTTACATCCTGTGGAAATTAAGTACAGGATCATTATATCATTAACTTTCTCTAGTGTCTCCTGAATATTAGTTTAAAGTCACCTGCAAAAGCTGTACAAATCAACAAGAAAGTTGCCTTAAAAAGGATGGACAATCATCCTACTTACATTTATTTTTGTGCATTCATATGCATGATCACACACATCTTAGTAAATATTATTTTTTCCTTACTCTTACAATGACACTTTGCCACAATTAAGGTTTCTATTTAATATCCTCATCAGATGAAATTGCTTGTTGCCTTTTAGGTCTAGAATCTTCCCCAGGGAAGCAACTAGATTTAGATCTCCTGAAACTTTATATGGCAGTGATTGAAAGAAACCTTCTTCCTTGAAATCAAATTAACCTTTATTATATATAAGCAGCCCCATCTTTCCAGATCAGCCACTCAACTGCTCTTTGCCTTCTGTCCTATGCCTGAGAGCACACAAATTCCTCTAGCAATCCTGACCTTTCCTGTGCTACGGCTGTTTCCTCACTCCCCACTTCCCAAGGTGAAAAGAGAGCTCAGTAGGGCTCTGAAACAGAGTGACAGCAGAAGGGACTGGGATTTCACTACAGTTGATTTGTGGAATAGGAGTTAACTGAAAAATATTTGCAAAATTTGGCTGCAAATTTCATAACACAGACCTTTGTTTATGCAAATAAGGAAGTGGCAATAAGAAATTATCTTTCAATATGATAACCTGCAACAATAACACACCTTGTAAGGTCTTCTATAAAAGCAAGGGGGAAAAAAAAGTTATGCCAATATTTTACTCTAGAACCATTCTGCAAACATTTCTCATTTGCATTATTCTGATTTTCCTAAAAGGGATTTTTTGAAAGAACAAGGTACAGCCTTTGTGACATCTCTCCAACAGTGTCATACTGAAATGTTTGCCTCATTTTTCAATCCCCCAAACTCACCTATAAAATCTGAAGCAGCAGTTGAGTTCTAGCTAATGAATACACTGTTGTAGACTTAGAAACTATTTAAGCAATCCACCACCTTTTAAATAAATAGGTCCTGGAGAGTCAACAGAAGTCAAAAATAGTCCTACCATATTCCTGGCACTGACAGAACTTGTCCACAGCTCAGAACAACCCTGTGCAAAGATGCTCAAGCTCAGTCTGAGAAATTGCACAGGATACCTAAAGCTGCATTGGAAATAACACACCATGCCAGTTACCCAGGATACCCAGCACAGCTTCCAACACCTCAGCAAGACCCTTGAATAGCTCTGCCCAGTCCTGAGTTGTGCAAGGTAGCCAGATTTCAAATTTGAGCAGGTATATTTCTGAATGCATAAGAGGAGCCAGTCTCATGCAAAAAGTACCATTTTTACAGGGTAGCTTTTCAGAGCAGAATCACACTGTTAAGCTGTGGGTACAAAGCACATGCAATACCAAACAGGCAGATGCTATTGAAGGCTCAAAATGCAAAATAAAGCATTACCATTTTTATCCATGGAATGGGGCTCAGACTGCTTCTTTCCAATATCAGCAAACGATCTTACAATTGGGATCCTGTTGCTCAGCTTCTTCTGGTTCTGATGGTGATGCTGTTTCAGTAATGCCTCATGCACTCTGTGACGAACATCCTCACTGAGCTGCCCAGAACCCACCTGCTGGTCCAGAATCATGTCTGAAAATATATACACAAACATAATAAAAGAGGGGAAAGAGGAAACTATTTATCTCTTAAATTGCAATAATAATAATATTAGTACCCTATAGGATTACAAATGAAGTGCACCAGTTCCTGTAATGCAACAGAATTAAATGTAAGTTTTAACTAGAAGTGTTTCACTTTCAGGGGGAGAGAAACAGGGGAAGGGCAGGGACAAAAGGATGCTATTAATATTAAAAAATCCTGAAAAAATGATGCTGTTCACAAATTAAGGTCACCTATGCAATGACTTTGAAGTCAGTTCTTAAGCACTCTTACTGCATTTAAATATAACATATTTAAATCCAGAGTTATGATGGGTATAAGATGTCTTGTCTTTTCCAAATTCTATTTCCTACAAAGGACTGGCTGTGAGGAAACATTTTTTTTATTCCCCTTGTTATTTACCACAGGAGATCACAGTCTTTCTTTCTTGCAGCTATAATTGCAATACCTTCAGTGTGGTGACTAACAATGCAATGCAAAGAAAGTTCAGGTAAGATAATACAGAAAAATTGCTGCATTATTTGTCAATACCAAATAGAATCTATTTATATTGCCAGATGTAGTATCATGTAACATGTTACTGCAAGAGGATAATTTCGAGGAGATGAGAGCAAAACTGATCCCCCTGCTAAGAAATTACAACCATTTTTGCAGTGCACTAGCAGAAAATAGTTTTACATATTCATATTCAACACTATTTGCTTGTTTATAAGTGTAACTCTACTTGTATGGTGTCATTCCTGGAATAACAGTATATTTCAAATAAAATATTGAAATATATTAACTGTTGAGGATGATGTCAATATTTAAGATTATCCATTTAGGAGAGAAAATTACAGGAAAACAAAAATCAAATCCCTATCCTCTTCCTTTCCCTAGGATGCTCTGCTAGGCTTGTTAACAGCCACAGAAGTCACAGGGCTGGTGCCAGTGTGATGACTAACAGTTTTTATTTCCTGCCAGAAAGAAGAAAGTGGCTTACTTAGAGTTTTTTGGGTTTTTACAATAACTACCCTTTTACTGTTGCACTCCTACCACATGTAATAAGAGAGGAGGCATTCAGTTTTGGAAAGAGTGAAGATGTGCTTTCTTGCCTTGGTATTTCCCTCCAGCTGTCATTCTTTTAACGTAGACCCAGTGCAGTAGAGTTGCAGGAACTCAAATATAGTCAAATTTCTGACAGATTGCATTGATTGCTGTATTTTGACCCTTTTTTTCAAGCCCTGCACAGATGTGAGCTAGAATAAGAAAGACTGTGTCCATTCACCCCTATCATTATGGAATTCCTTTTCAGTTTCTTCCCAAGCTTCTCAAAATATTTTTTAAAAGCCCAGGCCCCTGCTATATCAGTAACAACCTTAATTGCAAAGATTGTCTTGAAAACAAGAGCAGCTTACCATGCTTACCAATTCCAAGAGTAAATGGCCAAAAAGAACATTTTAAACATTTAATTTTCAAAATAGACTGTAATCACTTAATCCTGTAAGTAGAAGAGCCTACATGCTCACATCAGTTGAAGCTGAACATATTTTCAAAGCCCTGGTCTTCACTTTTGTATCTAGAACAGGCAGCCATTTCTTCACACTCCATAAGAAAAAAAGGAGGAAAGAATCTTTGTTTTAAAGAATTTTTGTCTTGAATGCCCTTTTAAATTCTGCACAGCCCCCTTCTAGCCAGAGACACAGCTTACCATTTCATTTTTCAAGGATGCTTCACTACCATAAGAAGCTTTCAGAAGGACGTGGAATCTGTGGAATATCCAGCTGCACAGTGCTACCCGTTCTGTTAAATGCTCACCCTGTAACATTTCTGCTGACATCAAGTCAGTAGAAGTAGGATAAAGTAGGATGTTTCTTCAGTAAGGAATCTTGGTGGATACTGGAACCACAAAATCATTTTTTCAAGCTGTTAAAGACAGATATTCTCCCTGACCTGGTCATTTAAAAGAATTCAAAGAAACTCGGGGTTTCATATATTTCAAGAATGTTTTCTCCATTCACACTCAGTTACAATACATCATCTGTATAAAATTAATTTTGTGAGTAAATGTGAGCAATGTGAGTACTTTAACAAGCTATTACAGTAACTGAGCTGTAACTCATCACCACCTGTGAACAATTTACCCAGGCTGTGAATTACAGCACTGGGGTGCAGACAATTTGTATCAGTTCAAATGCAGCATGGCTCATGTGTGGCCCAGCAGAGAAAATTCCATCTGTCCCACCTCTAGAGTCGGCAAGGATGCAAAAGCAGGCTGGCTGCTTCCACTCACTCTGGAGGTGTCTGTTACACACTGTAGCTTTCTACAGAGACGTGGCCAGACCCACGTGGAGATCCCACAGGTCCAGGAAAATGGACAAAAAGGAGGCTCTCAAGTGTGGTGAGAGCTCGCTCCCCACTGCACCAGGTTCACAGTGTGCTCATCACCTCATGTGCAACAACACACAGAATGCTCAGGTGAAACACAGAATAAATTTATAGAAAACATACTGGATTTCTATCAAAATACCTGTGAAGTCCAAAAAGAAATTACTGGGCTCATGTTCTCCTGATGTAGGTTAGCACTGACAGCTTACAGAAGAAACTGAATTCTGTCTATACCAGCAAAGGTGCTGGTATTCAGACTTCCAAATTTTATAACTGTACAGTTGTAGGACAAAATTAGAGATTAATGACAAAATGTAAAATACACAGGCTTTTATGTGCATCACAATTGCAGTGATAGCTGACTACAAAACCTAATTTAACAGCCACAGTTTTTCTGGCTTGTGATCGTTGCCCTTAAAGACAGGGACAAAGAAACCAAGCAACCCTAATGCATTGCTTTATGGAAGACATTCAGGTGGAACACCATCCTTTATCTTGATGGGTCTCTAAAGAGGAACCCAAATATATCCTTCCCTAGTGAGTAAGGAAGGAGGAGCAATACAAACCCAACAATCAGGATTCATGGGCTGCACTTGTGAACCAAGACCCATTTACATCGTTTAGCTTGTTTATAATCACCATTGTATCTAAGCTGGCAGATTTAGCAGCTCATCCAAGAGGGCAGAGCACTCCAGTGCTTCGAGACACAGATTCTATTTCCAGCTTTATCTGAAATTATTTTGTTCAAATATTCAAGTATATAATACTTGAAAAGAATGAAAAATGTCTGCTTTTTAAAATAACAGTATGTAATTTTACTGAAAAACAAGAGCCAGTATTTCACAAGACTGTAAATTGCAGAGACAAGGCCAAAATTCCCGGCTTGCAGTTCAAAACTGCAGGCACAGTGAATGCCTCATAAAAATAAATTTTGCAAGCAAAGATTGACTTGTGCATCTAAAAAAGATTCCTACAGTTGTGGCTAACACGGGAAAACACAAAACAACGACACAAAAAGACAGCGCTACTTAGAAGTTGGAAGGAGATCTACAATTTACCCGCAGACAAAGGAACAAAACCTGACAGTTTCTCTGCAGAGGTTATTGCCACATGCTAAGCTGAAAATAAAGCAAACAAATGCAGGAACCTGGGTAGTGAGAAGGTGAAAGCTGAACAAAAGACAGGTGTAGGGTCAAACAGAGAAGCAGATTACTCACAGGCAATCCCACGCTTTATTACAGTGTTTGTAATAAAAGTTAAATGTACCATAAAAGCACTGTCAGAAACATAACACAGTGTGAGTGCTGCAGATGAAACAAAAGGTTCCAATGAAATAAAATCTCAACTTGAACCAGTTAAAATATGTGGTTATTATGGAATAATATAGCTTAAAGCAAACAAAGGTAAAAGAAGACTTGTTCAGATTGAAAGCTTAACATGATATTAACGAAATCAATAAAATTGCACACTTGGGATGTAATGCCCTGAGTTGCTGAGCACAGAGTCTGGTGACCTCAATCACAAGATTAAGCTGTTACACAGATTGAAAATTCAGTCGTGAGGAACATACAAAGGACTGCTTGGGAAAAAATAGTCAGATCTTGGGAAAAAATAGTCAGATCTTGGGATTGGAAAGGAAGGGTAGATTCAAACTTAATTTTAAAAAGAAACCATTATTACAATTAAACCATTTAAAATAAATGGGAATATTTCAAATATGTGCAAGTAGCCAAAGCTCCACTGTGAGGCCACAGTTTGTATTTGACAAGATTTGACATTTGTTCGCAGAACACTGCACAACTACAAGATATATGCAAGTTCTATGGCTCATGCTGGAAAGAAAGTATTGCCATTAAAGGCTGGACTGAATAGTTTTTGAACCAAACAACAGAAAATGGCATCATATGTTAAATAGAGGAACCTTTTGGGTTCATTCAGTGGTTATAATCAAAAAACCAGATGGTAATCTGAGAATCTACATGGTTTCAAAGGAACTAAATGAAAATATCAAAAGAGAACATTTTCATCTGCCAACTTGAACAACACAGTGAAGCTGCTCTCTAATGGTACCGCCAGATTCTGGCAAATACATCCTCAAGAGACAAGTTCCAAAATAAACTGTTTTGATTACATAGATTTTTCAGACTTCCTTTTAGCATATGTTCTATACAGAAGTGATCGATGAAATATTACTACATAATGTTCAAAGGAATTCCTTATGCATGGAGTGCTAACTTACTGATACAGGAGTCACTGCAAAGACATATGAAAAAATAACGTCACGTATTAGAAATAACTCCCCCAAAATATGTGTAATAAAAATTGCATTTTTAAACAGGATAAAGTTCAGCAGAGGAACTGAGCTCCTTGCCAGAGACGCAAAATCCATCTTACAAAAATTAAGAACAATTTGAGAAATTCAGGAACATGCTGTTCTGATGTATGATGACAGTGTTGGAAATTCATCTCAGAAGTCTCTATTATAATAAGATGCTGTCTGTGAATTCAGCACCATAGGTATAAATAAGCTCTTTTGCAGCAAGGAAAATTGCGTACCTCTCCAAAGAAATACACAATCTTGTAGATGAAGTAATTTTTGTATATGACAGTTGGAATGAAAAAGACCTAATAGAGAATGGACATGCTGGAATAGAGGATGATTTTAAAATTCTCACCACATAAACAGTACCAAAATATTTTTATGCAGAACTGTCAGTATTTCTAGGGATAAAATACAAAATCCATGGTCCTGCAAACCATGCAAACATTACAAAAGATGGTTTTCATCTGTACATTTTACCACAAGCCCATTAAAGTTTTAAAATACATACTTTAATAACAGAAATTCTCAAGGGCTAAGCGCTAAGAGTTTAATGCATTAGTGAGTGTTTATAGATTAAAAGCCTTGAGTAAAACAAATAGGAATTCTTAGTTTCAATTTAGAAATAAAGTTTAAGTACACCTCTTTCAAGGATATGAAGACTGGTAATGCATTAATAGCAATGTAATTTGATACTGGAATATAGCCCAGATAGCAAGACATCACCAATAAATACACAGCACACATTTCTCGCTAACAGAGGCGAGTAAGAGGAAAGTACATGTGCACAAATAATGTATTTGTTCTCAAAAGATGATGCATTATAGCAATGTAGTAAAATTATCAAAAGATTGCATTAAAAAATCAAAATGTTAAACTATGAATCAGAAGCACAATAATCAAATTTAATTCAGGAGTGCCCCTTTAAACCGTAGGGCATAACCTGTTTTCACAAACTCTCCTAGAGGTGGTGTACACAGTAACAGGGAAAGAAAAGCAAAAGTGATCACCAGGACTGTTGGACAAGCCTGGCGTGAGGATGGATAGCAAGCCAAATAACAAGAGCTGAATGTCGAAAAAAAATTTGAAGCAGAGAGGTGAGAGCAACCATTTCCTTAAATTCTAAAGTGTCAGGACTGTCAGATACAACTGGAATAGACAACAGTTCCTGGTGAAAACAGCATTTGCCTTCTATAGCACAAGATAAGTACGATTCTAACTACCAGCATAGTATATGCAACTGGCTGGAACAAACAATAAAGGTTTCCTGAGTGTGGCATCACTTCCATGATGCAAAACCAGCACATTGAGAGGTATCAGTCCTGCCTAATCTTCAAGTCCAGCAGTCATTTTTAAGTAAAAAGAATTATTTGTCATATCATTTGGAATTATCACATTTCTAAGATCCCCAGCACACACACCTTAGTGGTGTGCTTATTACCACTACCATCGTCTTTCCTTCTTGCAGTGCTGCCTACTGTGTGCCACACTCCAGGCAACATTGTCTGATCACTGGAGACCAGGACTTACACAGTAAAGTAAAGTATAGCAGTAAAGTAACAAATTACAAAGGGACTTGATTGAAGAAAAGTTAAACAGAATTGCTACAAATAATATTAACAGAGAAAATAATTGCACAAATAATATCAACAGAGAAAAGTAACCGGAGCAACTTTATTTCTGGAGAAAATAGAAAAAAAAAAATCTCTTCAAAGAAACCTGACAGAATGTGAGTAATTTACAGAATGATTCACTTGCCTGAAGCACCTGCTGCAAAGCTTTTTAAAAAAAGAATAGTTCATTGCTTATTGAATCTGCAGAGGAGGAAAAATATAATCTTCTCTCGAAAACCAAGCACAGCTCATGCAAACCTTATCATGTGTCAGGTCACATTATCAGAGAGGGATGCCTAGCACTTCAAGCAAATAATAAAACAAATAAACTGCATCCAAATCTGCCACAACAACAGATACCTTTTAAATTAAAATGGTACATTCCATTTAATCAAAGTCATCCTAAAGCCTCTTCTCAGAATAGGTTTTCCTAATCAACAAACCAAGATAAGCCACAACTAGCTGACTTATCATAGCATGAGGGTAACTCCCCAAATCCTCTGCTGAAGAACTTACTCCTGTGGTGAGTTTCAACATTACTATTACAAATGCTCAAATCCTTGGCCACCTTATTAGAAACAAAATCAGTACAACTAAGGATTGAGATTATAAACAGTAATTAATTGGGTTCTCATTATATTGGAAAATATACAGTATCTTTCAGAAACAGGGAAAAAAAAGGATGCTCCCTGAAGTTGGGGGTTTTTTGCATTCATCCTTACTTTTTTTACCTACTAAAAGAAACAATTCTGGAAGGGCTCTCACAGCTGACTACAGACTAAATCGAGTGATTTCTGGATTAAAAAAGTAAAGCTCAAGATTGAAAAACCCAGTGGACTTTTTAAGCAAAAAAATGATACAAGAACATTAAGCAGCTGACCAAAGTAGTCCTTAATTATTTATAAATAAGTAATAAAGCAGCATACTGATAGACACCTTTGTTCTTTCAAATGAGCTGCTTTATTCTTCATGTTTATCTTTTATCTTTATCAAGATAAATTTTGAAGGTCTAATTCAGACTATGAGTCATGGAAGAATCAGATCTCAGCACAGAGTAGAAACCCACACAAGTTTCTGTAGATTTATATTAATAATATCTTGCATCAGTTTGACATAAACAATTTGGGAAAAGTAAATAAAAAAAGCAGCTACCACAATCTGAGCCAATTTTAATTCCACTGTTAAATATAGCCCACCAAACAATATCTCCCCTACAATTTAAATAAGCAAAATTAATTTTATATGGGGCTTACATAGATTTATATATAATTCACAAAGCAGTTTCTTGATAATCTTGAGTGTTAGAAAATTTTATTACTTTGTCTTTTGTATCTTTCCAAAACCAGTTACAGTCTTTAAGAGAAACCCCAGGAAAGCAGGAAATGGCATTTAGTCTCAATCTCATACTTTTGGGAGAGAAGACCCATCCATTATGTTTTGTCTTGCTCAGAAGCTCACACAAGCTCTAGAATTGCAACTGCCAAATAAACTTCTATTGGAAAAAAATGCATTCAACTTTATCTTAAGTTAATGTACCAAAAATTTATTTTAAAAACTTACACTGTATCATTACTCCTGATTTCATTCTCAACTCAGAGACTTACCTGTTTTCATATAATTTAATTGCAATAAATACTTCCATATATTTTGGGGGGGGGGGGGGGTTTAAACTAGATTGCCTGCAATTAGCATAGCAGTAGATTAAGTTTGTGGAAGTTAGCACACGCGTCATTCACATGAGGCAGCATGGCAGGAGCATAGAACATGCCAGCTCTAATTAAATCTATCCAAACTGCCCTCTTTCTTCCATTTTAATTTTCTTCTTTATTCAAAAAAAATTGATTCTTGAAGCAGCAGGTTCCACATAGAAAATATAAATAGAATATTTACTAACTGTGCCAGACGTTTCTTTTCTAGTACACTGAGAAAAATATTTCCTAGGAATTTCTAAACTGAACTGATTATTATGCAATAACTTTCTTGGTAAGCATTTAGTTTTTATTAAATAATTTACATAACCAATACATGAAACATTGATACATACCTGCAATTTCTTCTATGGAGTTAGCTCTCATGTCCAAAAGAACTGTGCCATTCAGGATGCAGCTCCTCAGCTCAAACAAGCTATGAAGTGACAGTGTGGCAACATAGGGTTTGCTCCACCTCTCTCCACCATCCTCTACATCTTCTTCAAACTTCAACCACCTATACAAACAATCAATTTTATAACTCCATTGTGCATTAGAAATGAAAACTTAATTACTTCTAGGAATGCTGAAAGTACAGACAAAGATGTTAAGCATGTCTTTAGACCTCACTTTATTCTTCCTTTTTAGGAAATATGAGAAACTTCCATTGCCTACTTCTTTAATAATGCTGTATTATATCATTTTTGAAGTTAAGTTCTGACCACAGAGATTAAGAGAGAAGTATATTAAGCAATTATCTTTGTACTCTACAAGCACTTTGACTAATTCTTTGCATACAATATTTCTGTGATAGAATAACAAGTGGTATAAAAAGGAGTCTAGAGAAACTTCAGTCATGTAAAAGGATATGTGAAACTGGCATGAAAGGATCAAGTATTTTCTTACCATCCAGCCAGGTGAACCTGCTTGAGACTGAATTCTCTACTGATAAATATTGCAGTTAAAATGTTAAAAGAATATTAAACAAACAAACAAACATCTGAGAAGTCACACAGTGATGTTGCTGTGTGGAGCCCTGCAGCCCACCAGCCTAGCAAGGTTTGAACAGCTGCAAGCACAGCACATGCCTGAATTGCTTGACTCTACAGCTCTCAGCTCTTTTATATGGACATGGCAGCAGAGAAGTCAAGCAGAGCCTCACACCTGGACAGCATCTTCACACATTTCCAGACAGCAGGGAAATTTAAAGCCTTAAGACCTTTAAGGCTGAAAAATTTCCAGTTTTACCAAGCCTCACAGCCCAGCAAAGCAGCTATCACAGCTGTCCTCTTCTTTTCCTGGACGACCTGTCTAGCTCTGCTCCTACTTGTAAAATACTCAAGTGTTCCCACATTTTAGACACTTTTCTCCTTTCAGTCCTTGTGTACTAAGTTCTTCCCCTTTTGCTGCCATCCTGCAAGCAGCCACCACTTCACTGACCCACTCACATCAGTATATCTGCTCCTTTCCTGATGCATTCCATTTCTTGGAACTGTCCCAGCTGCCTTCTAATCATTCTCTCATTATTTATAGAGACAATTTGCCTCAACTCCTTGGGTCCTTCAAAATCTCCAGTCTCCTATGTCTAGCCCTCTCCTCCTCTTTGTACCTAAACATTTTCCCTCCATTTCCTCTGTGAGCAAACTGGCCCGTTTCTGTACTTTGTCTTTGCCCATGAGAACTTTCCTCTTCATCAGACCTGTTCCCACTCCCTTTGCTGCATTCTGTTTTCTCTTCCCAGCCCATCCCCTCCACCTTCGCATTCCTCCAGAGAAGCAGCAAGGAGGACACAGCACAAAAATTTGCTTCCACAAAGCTGAATCATGAAATTGAATTTGCATATGCAAATGAGATTTTCCAAATAAATTTTCAAAACCATGTCCAAAGGGACATCAAACATGATTTAACATGCTTGTTAAACTTCACTTCTCCCCATGAAATGCAGCTATACTTTTAAAGGGAGGCCTACAACAACTCAGGGAAGAAGCATGTGAGAAGAAAAAACAGTTCTTAAATTGTTTTTCATTTTGCAGTTACATGTGAACTCCCTAAGAAGAGGCTGTTCCTATCTTACTCTTGGCACTCTTGTTTCCAAGCTGAAAAATGTGCAGTACCTATTTGCATCCACAGCATCACAAATATGGTGCATTTATTGTCCTGTTTAAACTGTCTCCCAAGACTCTGCAAAATACCTGCATTTTTATCTTCTCATACCTCCATTTTCGTGTATGTTTCTAATTTATAAGATCCTTATGTTTGAGTATTCTTAATTATTTCTGTTAATACGTGTTATTATTAGTGTTATTATATATCTTATTGTTTCTATGCTTAGCTTGTTTTATCTTTTATGCTGATTCAGAAAAAAAAATTAAAATTGTGCTCCATATATTCTAAGAACAATGATCCAAGCACACAGTTTGACAAAATATCATCAGAAACCTCATACTGTCATTACCTTTTGTTCATGTAAGTCAGTCTTCAACACTGCTTATCTCATTATGCTGCTGCAGTCTGTCCTTGATATTTCCCAATTTAAATCTACTGATCAGTTGTAAACAGATTTTAAAAGAGCAATAAAAGACAAGCATGTTCTTAAAAGTCTAAGACAGATGACTGGACACAGGCAGGCTTATTATCAGAGCTTGTAATAACAAACTAGGGACACAGAGAAGTCTAAATCATGAAAACAGCTGTAATTAGTGTTTATAGTGTCAGACATTAAAGCTTACACATTGGTAAAAATCCATAGGAAACTATTGCTACTACTCAAATAATTAGACTTACCATTGTGATCATCTATCTGAGTTCCCATGAACTGCAATAGTATAATTGTATGAGTTGCACCCCATTTCCTACTGTTGCTGAAACTTAGGTGTTTAAACACATTATCATACATTGTTACTCAATGAGCCAACAAGCCAGAACATTGAATTAAATCAAGTCCAGCTGGGAGCATTCTATGTTTGGAATAATTTCTATTTTGATTTTAATAAGCATATCATAAGTTTACTAATTTCATCGAGGGAACATCATGATACTGTTTATCACCTATCTTTTCAGAATTATTCCTGTTATGTCAGATAATCCTTATTTAACATATCAAATAAGAAACAGTAGCAGTAAACATAAAACAACTCTAATCTTATGCAGTCTTTCAAGTCTAAGTATTCAGTGGTTTTAAAAATCATAATACCATTTGATCAATCCTCTGAATTCATGAGCAAGGCTCCATGACAGAAATGGCTTTGAAATCCAAATTCAGGCATAAATCCCAGTTTGCCAATTTCGTACTCCTTTTAGTTTCTCACAGACAAATTTAAATATATCTACTTTTGCAGTTTAACCCCTTAAATTGGTATGATTGACAGATCATACCTAAGCCTTTCTTAGTTTCTAGGGGAACACCATCAGCCCCTATTGAGCTCATGTCACACACATCCCCTGCGACTGGAACATATCTGGAGATATCTCTGCTGTGTCTGATTGCATGGAAGAGCACTTTCATCCTTACAGCTTTCTTTTACTGGTAAAGACTGGCATAGGTCTATTGATAACACAGTTTAGTTCCTCTGACAGAATGCTTGCTAGAAAAACTATGCCAACAAGAGTTTCAGCTAGGCATGTCACTATAGGAAAAATATTACTCAGGTTAGGGTGTGTGCATACACACACCTTATGTATATGTCCTACCTTCTAAAGCCATCTTCATCACTTTCTCAGGCACCAATAAAAGAGTGCATATGCTTCATTTTGGACACAGCTACTGCATTTTCTGCACAATATGAAGTGGGTGACTGTATTTTATCTATTTTGTAGTGTGGTATGTCTGCAGCAGAGAGATGGAGTATGTAGTCACAACCTGCTCAACAGTTAATGGTTTTCATGTAATATTTCAATCTGTATCAACTTCCACATGAGCTTGTGCCTGCCCACCCCGATTTGAAAACCAACCAAAGAACACAAGCATGTCAGTAAAAAAGCAGGACTGAGAAACATTTTTCTTGTGACCCACTTTCTTTGGAAGAAAGTTTTGATCCAGGGAAAATGCATTATACTATAACTCTCCCTAATCCATTCATTTTCTAGTCACTATTAACAATTTACTTTCTAAACTATGGACACGAGTTTATTTTCCTAACTGTGCATTGAAATATAAGCTTAAGCACTTTCCTCCTGGTTCCAAGGTTCTTTCTATTTTCCTCCTTACTACATAATTTCTTCTGCTCCATAAAGACAGTGATATTCTCCAGATATTTTTGGTTAATGCTAGCAGATAAATGAGTCCCAAAAGTCTGGGTAAAACTTGCTACAAATCAGGTGCCACTTTCCAGCCATGACACATGAATTGCTTTCCCAACACCTGCACCTTGCAGGTACACTATTTGGGTGTATAAAATAAATCCAACTCTTACACTTCAACACATTTCTCCACAAACTTACCAGAAATTTTTTTTTCCAGAATAGAAACTATGCATCATCTCCATAGAGAATGCACAACTGTACAGCTGGGCCACATACAAAAACTATTGTAAGAATGACTATTGATTTTAAAAAGTATGTGTTTATTCTGGCTTGAAATCAATTGATGGAGGAAAAAAAAAAACATTTATCCCTATATCAACATAACCAAGTTATTCATTCCATTCTGCTCACTAACTAATTCCATGGATAGGACAGTCTAAACCAGATCCTGGAACAGAAAAGTCCAGTGCCCTTTCAATCAAACTGAAAATTCCAAGATACAGATGTACTTCATCTGTACTCAACACTTACCCCAACACTTCAGTCCAGGTGCACCAAGTGCAGAGCTTGGTGAAATGAATACATAACCACTTAGTGCTATCACTCTCATTAAATGTAATTAATCTCTACCTGAAACTACATCCAAAGCCAAACAGTAAGATTTGAAAATATTTCCAAATGACATTTTGCACACAGATGAAAAACATATAATAAATGAATTCAGATTGTATCTTCTCCACACCATAATTTTAGTCAAATCAGAATTTTGAAGTCCTGCATCAACCACAGGTATTTAAAAGGACCCACTGTATTAGTTTCTAAGCACATGATCTTGCACATTAAACACCATCCCATTTCTATTACCCTACTCAAAGCCACTTGGTTCTTGGTGTATGATACCTTTATCTATTTCTAGAGGAGTAATACCTCCTAATTTCTTATTATCAGCAAGTTTCCTTATTATAATCCCATTTTTTAATTCAATAATAAATCTATTTACTAAGCCTCATTCTTCAGAAGATAGCTGTCACTTCCTTCCACACTTATAGTATAATCTGTCAGCATGGCCTGTTGCACCTCTTCAAATAGTTCCTGACATAATAGAATTTTTAAACTAGAATGCAGTTTAAGTAATACATTCTCACTGCTGTACCATATCAAATGCTTTGCTTAGAAAAATTTAGATCCACTGTTTTTTCTTTGCCATAAAAACAAACATCAATTGTCTGATAAAAGAGCATTATTAACTTACCTTGACATGACATACCACTGTATTGCATTTTATCCAATTTTCCACTTATCTCCAAGTCTATAATTTTTCTTTCCTTCAAGCATTGTATGGCTCTGAAATTGGACTATAAGGGCTCTGTTTGCCCCAACCATTTTTATCCTTTCTTTAATGGTACTGCTGTGTTTGGATTAGTACAGCACACCCGACAGACTCACAGAGAGACAGGAATTGCCCTACCCATTAAAAACATGTTTTTTCTCCTTTCTGGGATGGAAATTATTGCACCCTCTTATTTGCACAGAGAAGCACTTTAAGTCTTATCTTCATTTTGAATTTGATCATTTCCTTGCCATCTCCTTTTCTAATCAGCCAGCCCATGTCAAATGCAGTCTGAAATCTGGGGATCCAAACTGAAAAAGACCATTTATCTTGACCAGTTCTTTCCACACAGCAGCCCCAGCCTTCCTTTCTTTCCATTTTACTGCTAAAGCTAATGAAAATTTTACAGTTACCTATTATGTCACTCTTGTATTTTCTGAGATCCAAAAACGTCATTTTCTTCGCTGTTTTTGTCTTGCTTTTTTTCAACAATCTTGTTTCTATTAAACTTTTTTAATTCTTCATTTCACAAACAACAGTTGAGAAGGGTGTGCATTAAACAGATCAACCAAAACAGAAATTTATTTCACCTACTCTTTTTGAATTCTACCTTCATCTGAACCACTTGCTGACAGAAATTGCTATAATTTTCAGAAACACAATTCTTTAATAATTTGCAAAGGGATTTTTTTAAGTTGGTCTAAAGAAGTTGCTATTTCCCTGCTTAAAAATAACATAAAACACAGTGATTTTTACTTTTTCATTTCAACAGAAGTTGATACCCCTCCAAGAGAAGTTCTATGTATTCCCAATCAGTATGAGAACATTGCAGATGATTACCTTGATTAGATTTTCTCTCTCTGAATATTAATAAGATTATTTAAGAACACTACTACCTTCCTTGTGCAGCACAATCCCCATATGAGAATTTTCTACATATAAAAATCTATATTTAGCATCTGTCTACGCTGCCTATGAACAGGTATTGGAAGGGAAGGTCATAGAAAATTTTTTGGCCCTCTGGGAAAGCAGAAATTAGCAGTAAAATTAGGAAGAAAGCTACCAGCCATGTTCATGTCAGACAGCCCACATGCATATTTACCCACAAAATCCTTCCAGAAATTTTGCAATTTATATTCTACCAAATACATAAATATTACTCAGACTTTTAGGCACCATTGAGGAGCACTGTCAACAACTGAGAGGGAGAGGAAGAACTAAGGTTTCAAGATGAAAAATAAAGATTGCTGTAAAATGTAAATTCTTAATGAAACTAAGCAAACTATCTCCCATTTAAATGCTCAAGGAAAAAAAATATACAATTAAAAGAAAAGTTCTGTACCAGTATTATTTTTTTTCAGAGCAGAAATGCAATCGAAAAGTCTTTCCCACTAATTTTGCAGAAATAAAATAATCCAACACTGAATACTCATTTTCAAACTGTTCATGGAGATTTAGAATATGTAAAAGTTCTATTACTCCAAAAGTAATCTCATTCCTTGCTTTCATCTTTTTATAATGGTTCCCTTATCAGTTTCTTGAGGATTCAAACAAAATATGAAGTTTGAAAGAATCTTTAAACTAGAATATAAAATATGAACTGACCCAATTATTTTAATTCATATATATGGTATATTTACATTATTTTTTTTTCCATCAGTGTTCCCTCTGACCTATACTCATAAATCCAAATGAAATATTTGGCTCTGGGAAACGACGAATGCTGTTGTAATACTAACTGACTAAGGATTAAAATTATGGGTTTATTTAAGTTTTATATCCAAAATCTGTCCCTGAGCTTGCTACAGCTTTGAAATCATTCCTCAATACACCAGCAACGAATACCTACGGATAATTTTTAAGTTATAAAAATGCTCACCTTGCTGTCTCCCTCCACTCTGCATCCTCTCCTTCACGCCAACAGATCTCATCAAGCTCAGTGAAGAGATCATGAGGAATGTGTTCCTCATCATCATCTTCCGTTCCAAGAATAAACTGCACCCTTTGTGATGGGGTATCTGGAGAAAAATAAAAATATCAAGTCCAAACCACCAGCTTTTTGCCCTGAGAAAACAAATTTGATGAGATTATCCAGATGTTTTCATGCATATCACTTACTGCAACACAAAAAAATTTACAATTCTGCTGTAAGAGCATTCATTTACACACAAACACATTCAGATTGAGATCTCTTCATTTACTATAGTTGTCAAGTCCACTTTTCAAAAAACTCCTCCAAAGATTTAACCTGATATATAGAAACAGGGTGTATTGAAAGCTGGAATGGCAACTCCCGGGGGGTGGGGGGGAAAGACACACAGAAAGGCAGCACAGATAAAGCTGAATAAAACTGATAAAAGTCTTTTACTGCAGTGTCAGAAAAATCTACTTTGCCACTTCATAAGTCTACATCTGCAGATCTAGCTCAGGTCACAAAGATAAGAATACTAAATGTGAAATCTTTGCTGTAGGAGAAATAAACCAAATGGAACCTGCCTAATGTAAATATACAATTGCAGACTTGACCCTTGCCTGTAGCAGGCCCAGGGCCTGCAAGGCCTCCTTGGCGGTCAGAAGCCTGAGCTGGGAAATGCCAAGTCACGATGACTGGGCCTTAGAAGCCCCTCTCTTCCGCCTTTCGGACCCTGCTTATCTCTCTGTAAGCCTGTAGGTCACTTTCCCCTGACCCTTTCTATTGGACAGTTTCCAAAACCCCTGTAGGGTATAAAAACCCCTAATTCTGCCTGATTTGGTAGAAGAGCTGTCACTGAGAACCTTCGTGGGACACCCTAATAAAGAATCCTGCGGAACCTTACACCGCGCTTCTCCTCTCTCTCCCTGCGTCTGCTGCCACGGCCACAAGCAAGCCAAACAAGCTGATAATCACACAGAGCTGATAATCACTAAAGAGCTGAAATCACTTGAGCTTGCTTGGCTGCCTGCAGCTGGGAATGACTTGGGAGATCTGACCAAGTCTGAGCCTCCGCTGAGACTATCCTGGCCTCGGCAGTCCACCGGGCACAGCCCAGCTGGAACCTACCGGGATACTTGCCCCTTTGTTAACTCTTTCTACTTGGTTAGGCTGCTTGGACACACAACTTCTTAATTTGTCCCAGCTTCCTCATTTTATTCTTCCTGTCTTCCCTTTTCAATACTGTTACTGATTAATTTTCTTCATAACCTTTCAGTGCAGATGGCTAAATATATTTTTGAAGACATACTATTGTTTTTTTCACTCAAAAAATTCACAGAGCATCTTAAAGTACATATATATTGAATGTTCACAGCTCAAGTGCTCTATTAAAAAAAATCCTACATCCTATTTGCTTACTTAAATGCAAATCTCAAATGAACAAACTGATGAAGCGCAGCCTCTCTAGCAATGCATAACTGCTTTTTCTGCTAATGTATTTTAGATTTCTGAAAGGGACCATAAGTCTTTTGTGAGAGCTGAGAGAGGCCAGGCTGCCAGTCAGCTGAAAAACTGATTATCCAGCAGAACAGCTCAGTGATTCCTTGAACATTGTCTAAATGAAGTTCAGCTCTATAACATATTTGTAAGACAAGCTACAGTGTTCCATCTAACAGCAAAGAGCACCACTGGACAGGGTCCTAAAGCTCTTTGGACTTGGGAGAAAATGAGATGATAGTACCCACTGAATGCGAATTAAAGAGAAAACACAGCTCTGATCCAAATAAATTAAATGGGCCACTGACACAGAAAATTAAATTCAACAATAGAAGTATCTTTTTGATAGCAGTACTAAGCTTGCTACAGCAATTAAACACAAGACATGACAATTTTCACCTGAGGTCTATTTGCTTTAACAGAGTGTAAAGATCTAGTGCAGTAAAGCCTATTTATTCCTTCACAAAGCAAGGAAATTAAACCCAAGGAGAAATACAGGAGAGAAAGAAGAGATGTTTCGGGTACTACAAAGAACCAGAGGATGGAACTGCAAGGGGTACAGCTAAAGAAATTACTTTTGGTGAATCACTGAAGAACAGCAAGAAACTCCTCCACTTCAACCTTTCTTTGCTTTCTCATCTCTCTTAATGTTCAGTCTCTTTTCTCTTTAAAAAAGTTCTATTTTTTCTTTAAATCTGAGACCAGAAAGTACATTCTAGTTAAGACGTGTGCAACTTTTTAAAACTAATTTCCAGAAGGACAAAATTCAGTGAGATATGAACTTAGAAAGGATTAGTGCATATGACTACTAACAAAACATGGAAAACAAGTTACTTTGGTAGAGGGCTGGACTGCAGCTAGAATCTGAGAATAAGCATTGCCAGGAACATCCTGTACTCTTGATAAAATCAGCACTAGAACTGATTTACAGCAACTGCTACTGTTAAGTAATAAATGAGCAGTGTGGCACAGCAGAGCTGCAGCTCTGTGACAGTTATGATCCTCATGCAAGTACATGCTTTCAGTGTGGGAGGAAAAGCAGAGGATCAGAAACCTCCTAAAGTCAGGTGAGCAGTAACAAGGAATCACCTCACTGCAGTAATTTGCTCTTACTGGGTCTTCTGTGTAACAAGCTAACTGACTGACAACAGAGAATCAGAATCTTTCAGGATGAAAAGACATCTAACATCATCGGGACCACGCACTGCCAAGTCAACCACCAAACCACACCCCTAAGCACCACATTTACAGAAATGACAAAATATGCACAAAATTATCTTCTTCCTTGTTAACAAAGCAGTAAAAAAAAGCTGCTAGATTCTGTCTTTCTTTACTGATGTGATTTCTACTGATATTTGAAACCTGCAAGTCACAGCTTTATTTTCAGACAACAAGCTGAAACTGAAAAAAAGTTCTCATTTGTTTATGATACAATAATTTTATTTCAAGGACAAAACCCTAAAAAACGTAAACAATAGGAAAATTCTAATAAAAACAACAGATCTATGGGTTCCACTTATAAAATTGAATTAACAGGACTATTCATGAGCAATGCCAGATAGATTTGGTTCATATTCATAGGAGTAATAAATACCAAATATGTCATTAATGTGTTATATAGAAAGTTAGTAATATGTGATTCAAAATCAGTATGGAAGAATACTTCAATTTCTAACTGTCAAACTGTGATAACTTAATCCTCAGTGCAGAAGCATAATATTTGTAAACTGGGACACAATGTTTTCTGCCATCTAGGCAAACAGAAATTGGCTTGAATATTATTTTTGTCTATCCTTACTTCAAGTAGCACAGCCAGCATAAAAAAAAAAATTCCTTCATACTATTATTTCTATTTCTAAAAAGTAACGAGAACAATATAGATTACTCTTTTAAAAAATTAATGACTGAGACTAATCAGTTCAGTAGTATTTCTATCACTGTAGTTGTTTTATATCAAAGTTATCAGAAGCAACATGATTTAAAATTTTGCAATAAGCAGCTGATGATTCTCCCAAGTAACTTGTTCATTACTAATTCAGGAAATCCTCCATGACCAGCTAAAACTGTGCAGAAAGCCTAGCGCACAACAGGACCTGGGGTACCATCAACAAGCACTCCTACTTGGCTAATGAGCAGTCTCAGTCAGGAAACCTGAAGCAGCTTTGTGATTGCTGTGGCTCCACCAGCCCCTCTCTTTTATCCCTGGGTTTCTCTAGGCTTGTGCTCATTTCATAAATGCAGCACTTGCATCCAAACTACCTCTGATACCTCAAATTCATTGCATGCAAATTCTGAGTATTCCACATGTAAAAATCTGGCTAATTCCACTGGTCTAATAAAAGGGTAAAAATTAAGACTTGGCCGTTAAGCTATTGTTGTACACACAAATTCAAAGTGGGACGCAGTGCTGCAGAAAAGGAGTGACCCTGCAGAAACCTGATATATTTATCTATGTTATGACACCTTGTACAGGCATCAATAACCCTAAAACAAATGCAAGACGTGGGCACAGACATACCAAAAGAGCAGATTTGAAGGTCAGAGTTTCTAATAACCTAATTCCCAGAGGGAAACAAAGAGCTGCCCCCTGGAACAGTGTTGAGCACAGGTAGTGGTAAAGAGCATCCCACAACACCATCCCACCTTGCAAAACACAAGTGAAAAGGAATCATAACTGGCATTTCCCCCATTCAGAACATCCCTAAGTGCAACCACAACTCTGGGTCAGGGCTGCTCCCTCTTGCCTAAGGGAACAAGGTAAAATCAAGACTTGCTCTGGGGTAACAAAGGAGGATCATTCTCAGTCCCTTGACGTAAATTCAGCCCAGCAAATATTCTGTTCCACTACACCAGTCAGAGTAACCCACACCTCCTCAGTGAGTGCCAGGGTTTCACTGGGACAAACCTCCCTGCCACCAGGCAGAACTGCACACCATCCATCAGGTGATATCACAAGCAGAAATATAGCTTTCAGTACATATAATATGTATCTAAATTCTGTCCTCTGTTCTTGATAAACTCTAGAAAGAGTGCAAAAATGAATTTCTAGTAGCTGTATTTCTCAGCCTGTCAAGCCTGCATTTAAGGGTAGAATTAGTAGGCAAATACTTCTTACTGGGGTCAGCAGATGAATAAGAGATTACTTTTTCACCATTAGAAAACATGGTAACTATTAAATTAAAACTTTCATTACAGAAATTCACATAAGATAGTAAGCAACATATACAAGATTTAATCCGTGCTTTGTGCTCTTGTACATCCACATTAAAATAATATTAAATATGCAAACTATTTTTTTATTACTCACTGCACAGCACAAACAGCAGACTGGGAGTTCACAAGTGTAACACAGTTGACATTAGTAACAATCCCTCACAAGACAAGGGGAGATGGTATGGAAAATTCACAGGAGCAGAGAACAGAAAGGATCATTTCAGACACAAAAATTCATCATCCTCCTGATTGCACTCACCACAGAAGTGGTGGATGGGGACTCTCCCCTAACCTCCTTCCTTTGCAGATTGGACCCTGCCCTTAGCTCAGCAATCAGTAAAGATAAGGATCTTAAATTCAATTTTATTAATTAGAAAAGTTTTAGTAAAAGTTTAAACTAAATTTGCATTACTAAAGCCCACATGAAACAACCAACATCCATACAGGACACTTCTGAAAGTCTCTTCACAGACCTTAGAAATCACATGTTGGGTTGGGAGAAAGTATTCCCTTGGTTATGCTCTGGCACTTTATTCCTGCAGGTACAATCTGCTTCAGGGAACTATCCCAGCATTTTCTTGACATGAATTATTTCCATCAACCCAGGGCCACGGCAAATAATCATATCTTTTGGATCTCACAATATGGACAATTCCTAAGCTTTAATTATCTTTTTTTTTTTTGCTGGATTCTTAAAACTGCAGTTATGATACATTATTTTAATCCAGATTTGCAGCAATCTGTGCTACAGCTGCCCAGAGATTTAAATTTCCGAGTTCATCGTTCATCATACAAGCCTATAGTTAAGAGTAGGTGAATTCTCTCTCTTAACAGCCATACTCTACAAATAATTAAATTTACCCCACTAATAACCATTCAGCACTTGAGTTTAGGTACCAAATATACTCAGCTGAGTCTTTTAGATTTACTTTCTTCAGGTGCCTCTACTAAGCAAAAGAAGCCCCACTTTGCAACTCACATTTTTTGCCTGCATTGCCTTCAGAGCCTTTCCTGAGCTGTGTGTGCAGTCCTGTGTCAGGTTCACCTCCAGGGCTGCTCCCCTTGCCTTGCCACATCCAGTATAATGAATTACAAATTTAAGCCTCTTTAAAACTAGGTATTACTAAATCCAGTTTCTTAAAAGAACATACCAAACCTTCCACAAGCTTCAACAGTGTCTACTCATACAGGACACACATGAGGCTGTAATCAAACCCCAGCTCTCACAGCTGTGTTCACTTTAACCCTGAACAAAACCTGTCCTTAAAGACAGAGCCAAAGTCTTCCTATTCCACAATTTTAAAACAGCTATTAAATATCTTTAACTCATGAGTACTAAAAAGCTGTTTCATTGGCTACAGGCAAACAGACACCAAAAAAGCCACAGAAAACTGCCACTAAAATCCAAATGCACACAAGCAAGAGCCACCCTACCAGCCAAAGGGAAATCTGCACCAGGCTTTCAGTGCCACCACGACTCAAGGCACTGATGGAGCCTCGTGGCCCTGCAGCTCACAGGGGCTGGCACCCATTGCTCTCATAAGCAGCACCAAGGAGATGCCCCAGGCTAGAAAGAGCTTTTTTTTTTTATCAAATGATTTTTCATTTGCATCAATTCCCTAATTTAATTCCCAAGCAGTCACAATACTTTACCCCAGAAGGAAAACTGTGGAGAAGGGGAGCTTAAGGCTGAAATGAAATTGCGGCCTTAATTACAACAACAGCATTTCAGCTGAGAACAGTAAACCTCTCCAGTAAAACAAATAGCACTACTGCATTTTTAACTAGAGTAGATAAATTCACTGAATTTCTCCTTCTCTTCAAAAAGAAGAAACTTAAGAGATAAGATGGGGAAAACCTACAAATCTACTTAGCTTACAATTTTTACTACCCAAAAAACCCTCCCAATGTGCAAACCATAAAATCTGTAAATTGTGCTATTACAGGCACATCATTTTTGCAAAATGGAAACACCTTTTACAACCTCATCTCATTAAGAGGCAACAGAGAGAGAGCAAGAATCAGGTGTAGGGAAAACAAAACCCAAACCTGAGTAACTGATCTGTGCCCCTAAATGACAGGACTCTCTTTCATCCCACTAAGTACATATTCTGCATATTATTTGTCTAATCTGGAGTTATCTCTGAATCTGTACACTGAGAACATTTGGGTTATTTTTGAAAAATGACAGTAGGAGATAAAAAATAAAAAACTAATGAGCCAATGTCAGAATGCTCTAAAAAAATCTATTCTCTGCAGAAGCCTACCCAGAAAATAGCTGGTACAGCTTTCCCAGCCAGAATTCAAAGGGATTACCAGGAAGCTTCCCCCTATTGTCATTACACTGACTAGAGGTGTTTTCTACCCACGCCAATACACACTTACAGGAATTGTTTTTAACTGAACAGGAACCAGGTGGCTCCTGTGACTCTGCATGGGCCCACAGAGCCCCACAGCACAAGGTGCACGGCACAGCTCCCTGGAGCAGCGACAGCAGAGCAAGGGCTGCACGTGATGCTGCTGCACAGATAAAGTTATAAATTATACAGTTATCGGTTATGACAGAAAATAATGCTTTATCCCATGCTGGGTTAACTGAGCACTGTGGAGCACTTCATGTCTGAATATTTTAGGTCTTTACTTGTTCCAGAATCTCTATTATTCAGTGGTTTGCTTTTGTTATATCTCCTTTCATACTTCACTCCTTCAAAACACTGCTAATTTATTCTCTTGTATCATAAAAATCCTTATGTATTTTTCTGACTTACTTCAAAGATTGTTTTCCATCAGTTGGTCTCACAGTGCTTATTTTCTCCATCTTTTCTTCTTGCACCTGCTCATCAAAATGTTTTTTTCTTTCCCCTCCTCCCTCACAGTTCCCAAGCATACAGCATTCTACTATTTGGCAGAAAGGCATTAGGAGGTGTCAATAGAAAGACGGAGCTAAGCATTTCTGCTCGCTCAATTAAATCAGAATGATTTATAAATTAAGGGACTAGTTTGGATCTACTCTCTCAGGTAATGCAGTCCCTCATATTGAGTTATGCATCAAAAAAGGAAGCGTACTTGTCTTCCCTCAAGCTTCCTTCAGTTCTGGTTACTGTTGGAAACTTGTAGTCATGGGGAAGAACAGCTAAAAAGCTGTTCTGAGGTTTAGTAGGTTCAGATTTAGTGTGGGAAGTATCTGTTGCTCCCTCTGTGCAAATAAAGCATAGAAAAATCATGCTTATATTCTCTCTGAAGGCAATGCTTCGCCCCAGGCAGCACAGCAAGTTGTCTGTAACTCCTGTAAGGAAAAACCACAGTGAAAGAAGGAGGTGTATATAGACTACTATTAAACTCTGTATTATTTTGTCTGCCTGTTCTGTATGTGCTTAAACTCACCATCACAGTAGCATTTTAAGATTTGCCTTGATTATGCAAATCCCTTTCACTCTTGTCTATAGAATGCCACATTTCTGCCTGGATGGACCAATGTCAAAGCTCAAAATCTGTTTCACTGGCCCAGCTTCCAGAAGTCAGATAGACAAAGGGGCAAACTCTCAAAATTTACTATTCAGATAATCATTCAGGGTGAAAAGACTAGATATTTCCAGATTTGTGGTTCTATCTTTGGATTCTTTGAATTGCTATCAACCAAGCACTTTGAAGAATATTTTCAGCAGTCTGAATCCAGAAAAGATTTCCATGTTTCTGGCCTGTAACTTGTCTGTCAAGTGACACCACTTACACACACCCTTGAATTGGTAACTATAATACCTTTAAAAGTGAAATTGTGACTTCAAAAACTGCAGATCTCTACTCATTTCTTGAGGTACACCAGAGGACAAGTGCAGTGAACATCAAGCTACAAACCTACTTCAAGACTATCTTTTTTCATAGTACTGCTATTTCACCCTCAGAGATCCTTTGAACATAGGCTGATTTACCTAACACAGAATTATGTTGTACATTGCATTTTATTGTATGCACAAATGTCAAAGACTATTAAGAACAGATTCAGCCAGTTAATTTGTTTTATTTTTTTACTTTTGACATTAAGAAGGACACAAGCCTAGGTCTCCAGAAGTTGCAAGAACAGAGCTAAGTTCTCAGCCAAAATGTGTCACATGCTGGCACTTAAATAAAACCAGATGACTCAACAGAAGACACTGTTTCATAGTTCAAGATATCTCACTTCTTGGCTAATGTAACTTTCAATTGTTTCTTTTTAATCTGACTTTATATGTATATATGCATATTCTTTTTGAAAACTGTTTTAATAATTTATGAACTTTGTTTTTTTCCAAGAAACTGGTTTCAATACAGTATTGGGTCTTTGAAATCCATTCCAGACAGAACCACCACAGCCAATTTTTTCTTCACTGCTCAGTTTTAAAAAACATAACTTGTATCTGCTAAGTTTGAAAAAGTCTTGACTTTGTTTTACTCTCAGGATAATAAACCATTGTGCAAGATTTGAGAATTTCAAGCTCTAACCATCACCACTTACAATATACTTGCTCAAAAGCTTTCCACATACATAACACAAACTTCTGATTAAAGGAAAGTCTTATTATAATCACTATTCTGTACCCTGAAATTACACTGGTACGTTTCCCTAATGACTTAAGAACACACTAGCAAATTGTTTTCTACACATGCTTCCATTATATTTTAAACACTTTCCATAGCCTTGGATATTTCATCACATGCACTTTCTATTTTTGAACAGCATGTAATATTCTCATGTTTCGAGACAAAGCTTGGCTAATTTATTAATGACTACCTTCTTCTCTTCTCTGTGATGTTTTCTAACTTAAAATTTTGAGAACTTTAGGAGTTTCATATAGGTTTGTTTACTGAAAGATATTTTTCCTCAAGTCCACAGTTAGCAGATTCATGTTACAATGGCACATTTACAGTGTCATGTTAGAAAAAAGGTAAATACAACCTAGATTGTGGTTTGAATCTCATAAAACACTGCAGCTTCAGCAGCATCAATATCATTACAAAACTAATTGTAAAGGACCACGGCTCTTCTATGTTACATTTTAGGGACAGACACTGCAGAGCCCACCCTGAGGGCAGCTGGTGCCACCAAGCACTTTCCCCCTCAGTGGTGGCTGCAGTCTGTCTTAGTGAGAACACTTAGGAACAGCTCCCACAGTGCTCCTTCAGTGCTGGAAGCTACTGAGCCTTCTCATGTATTGACTGCCACTGGCTGCTGCTCCTCAGTGGATTTGTTCAAAGGAACGAATCACCAGCAGAGGCTCTGGTGGATTCTCCAAAACCCTGCTGCTAATCATGTCCAAGTGATAACAGGACAGATTATGCACAATCATGCCAACATTTATTACTTAAAGACCTATCCAAAAATAAAATTTGTCTTACCAAAAGGAGGAGATTCTCTCCCATCTTCTAATCCTGAGTCCCGTTCTCTGTCTCTCTTTCTGTGTTTATGCCCGCGGTGCCGATGGCGTCGGTGACTTTTTCTTCCACCCAGTGGCACATGAACCCCAATGAACAATGTTCGATGGCCTACAGGTAAAAAAAAGGTGTCTTTGAGAAGGGAACTATGTTATAACAACAATATAAATATCCTTAATAGCATTAATGGTATCAGTCTTATGATAATTTTGAAGTTACATAATATTGATTATTCTAATGTTAATAGTCCTAACAATATTGACTTGAATAAAGATGATTAAGCATCACAGATACACAACCCCTTGATACAGGAAGAAATTCCAGTACTGAAGTCCTTATGATGCAGCACCAGATTTTTTTTTTTCCATCAAATTTGCATCTTTTTACGTGAACTTTCATTAAAGCCAGACAGGTGTTCTGTTAAATGTCTTGCAAAACAGTAATATAAAGAGACACATGGATCTCTTTGGATTGAACATTTGGTAAAGTTGCTGTTTGCTTTGTGTGTACAAGAACTTTACCAAACTCATTCCTATTTATGAGCCAAACCTTGACAGAATTCTTGTGGGAAATTCAATGAATAAAAAACAAAGAAGAAAAAAAAATTGAAAAACAATAAAATACGATGTAAGCAAGAGCACAAAATCCCTACACCACTTTACATGCTCACATCATAAATGTATTGCTGGTATCGTAGGTTGCTTTCATTTCTTCTGTTTTATTTTTTTAAATACATAAGAAGGTACATATTGCATGCCTGCTGCCTTGAAGCCTGATGAATTTTATGTTGCTGATCAAGCCCAAAATATTTAGGTCTCTTAGCTATGTGGGCTAACAGGATCAAAGCACAGTAAAGCATTTAGAAGGGGGAGAGCACAGCAGAAATGTGCACTAACCAGAACAAATGGGAAAGGAATCATGACTCACTACAGGCAGGTCTTCTGCATTTACTCAGCAGAAAGACATAGCCCAGATTACTCATCTCAAATAACATTATTTTCTCCTTGAAATTAACATAACACAGCTCATGGATATTTGCTGCTTTGCTGTAATCATTCAGCAATGTCAATCACCTAAAAAAGGTCAAGAACACTAAGCTAAGGTAGCACGTGATCTCTAATCCCATAGAGACTCCAGAGGAGGCAGAAAACACAGCAAGGCAGCAAGTGTCACAAAACATCAAAGAAATTCAATACGGACAGGAATTCTCTGCAGAGGCAGAGCTAAAAAAGCTGAAGAAAAGACTCTGGACACCACACTAGTTACTTCCCTAACTATGATGCATGTACAGGAGGCTAGAAAGCAGAGCCATCAATTTTTGACAGACTTCTTGTAGAGTTAGGAGATCTTCCTAAAACAATGCCCAGCAGTTGAAAAATATGTATTTATTTACTTATTTATTAAATACCTCTTTCTTCTTGCTTATCACATTTAACCCAAGAAATGGTTTAAAGAGAACGTCTGCCTTTTGTATATTTCAAATGCATTGCAGCCAGTCATGCATGACACCTGCAAAAATTCATTAAAAACATACTGAAGGACATGAGTAATGTAGTACTTTACATTTCCTTATCCCCCTCCTTGGGTAGAAGAAAAAAGCAAAACAACATTTTGAAAGGAAGGTTTACTGTTCCTAAGACTTTAGCAATTTCCAGAGGTGCAAATAGATTGCTTTTTTTATTTAGTAGCTAAGTACATTCCTGCTGCTTTGTGATAGAAGTGGGCATGCTTATCCTAGTTTTCTCCCACGTCAATGATCAGATTGTACCTGCATCAGGAAATGCTGATTGAGGCTCACATTTCAATCAATTTCCAGGGCTGAAAGCAGTACTTGAGTCCAGACTGTTCTTTATTCAGTACACTGGGATACAGTGCCAGAACGTTCGTGTGTGTCTGAATGCCCCAGCAATTTTCCTTATACATACACAATCAGTTCACACTGAAAAAAAACCCAGGAACCTGGAAACTGAAATAGACATCAGGAAAAAGCAAAGTGGACTTTACTCTTTCTGTGTGAACCTACTGAGACCAGCAGAGTGCTACCTAGGAATAATTTCAATAAACACATGGAAAGGTAGGTGCTTGTAACAAGGTTCAGACAAATAAAAGGAAAAGAAAGTGACAGGGGAAAAGCAATAGTTCTCTACAGAAAAATCATAGAGCAAAAAGCAAAAAATCTGAGAGTTAAGTAGTGGTTTATTAAAAGATCACAACTGTGGAGCAAAAAGAGACCATCTGGGAACAAAAGAGTAATGAATTCTGAATTGCTGACAAAATGACAATGAATGATAGAAGCAGCAAAAAAAGAAAGAGGAAATAGAAAAGAAATCAAATTACTGTATTACCTTACTTCAAGTAACCTTTTCATGGTAGGTATTATGAGCTAGAATGTAATGTACGTTTTTCTGTACAAATTGTCCAAGGCATTATTAAACAAGAGTTTGCAGAGAGCTCTCTAAATTTGCCAAGACTAGAAGGTCAAACATGGACAGAGCAAGGCAGATCTCAAGAAAACCTGACTAAAATTTCTAACAAGAAAGGGCATCTACAACTGAGTGAACTCAGGATCCACCAGGATATCCACTATCCAGGATATCGTTATAGATAATAACTGATCCTATATGGGCCTTTCTTTCATTTATCTTTATGAACATTTTTGTGTCTTTTATTATTTACTTCACCAGGATGCCAAATGAAAATGACTGAATATTGCTCAAATATTGTAAAATAATTCTGCTCTGCCATACATTTTCTCAGGACCTAGCTCAATTAGATCATAATTTCTCATTCTTTTGGCAAGGCTGCAAAGACACTAAAGTATGGGAAATAGTAACAAGGGCAGATTACATCAGGGTCCAAACCATTGACATCAGGTACAACCTAATAGCCACTCTCACACAGAACTGACACGTGGTTTAAGAGGTGAACATAACACGCTGCTCTCCCTACCAAAGGGGTGTGGGTTTTGTGTTAAAATTGTTTTGGAAGAATGGGAGGCACTGGGGCAAAAAAATCTGTACTCTTAGCATTCCATTAAAAAGATCTTAATTCCACTAAATTATGGGAAATATTTACAAATCCTTTCTCTCCATCTCCATTTTCCCTTGAAATGTCACATCACTCAAATAATTGTAATGGGATTTCCAGAAGTACCTAAGTTAAGTCATCAAGCACCATCAATTATAATGGGTTATGTGTTTCCAGAGCTTTAGAAATCCCACTACATTTCTCTTTCTTTCCATTTATTTAGTGCATAAGATAGGTAGCTAGGATAAGCTTCTGGTTTTAAAAACCCAGAATGCCAGGTGCTAAAAACCATTTCTAGATGTTACTTTGGTCATTCTCAAGGGATATGCAGAAAATTCTTGCTATTCTGAGCCCAGATTTTTAGATTATTAATTTGTTATTAGGTTCCTAAAATAAATTTAAGTGTAAGGAATAATTTCTCCTTTGAAACTCAGCAACCCCAAACAACACTTCTACTTAGATTTTATTCTGAGAAATGTCTCTGCAAGACGTATTCATATTAATAATATATGCTTCATATCTCTCTTTTCTAGGGCAACAATTTCATACCTCCACAAACTGAAGACACAGTAGAATAATTTTTTTCTTCAAAAGTTTAGGGCAGATAATGATTTTTCCACATGGTTATATGCACTTTCATCTGTCTCAAAGATAATTATAATTAGTAGGATCCCTTTTAAGTGTTTTATAATATCATTTGGATTTAATGTAATCCCATAAAAATTAAAAAATAATACTTTACAACAAAGGTTATTGTTTCTTCAGTCCTTAATTACTTTAACTCAAGGAATGTTTTAATGCTCTGAAGGTAAACCACAAGTTTCTTATGCTATAAATGCATACATTTATACTAACTTTACATTTATATATTTTTTATATATACACATTACATTTACATATACCAACTTTATATTCTGGGTTTTGTTCCCCAGCTATGTGCAATTTGATTCAGAATAGTCTTTTATTAAAAATAATCTTTTTACAATTTACTAGTGGATGTGTAGCACTGTATAAATGTCATTGCAGAGCAGATCAATTCCTTGCATTGTATTTTTTTAATAAGCTTTCACATTGTAAATAATCTTTGTGTATTACTGTATTTTCACAGTGTGTCTCTTTTTAAAAATTACTTGCTCCTAAATCCTCATACTGAAAATACTAATGCATGTGTTCATGTTTCACTTCCCTAGCAGCACATCTGGAATAAATCAACATTTGAGTTCAGAGTGTGTTTTTGCAAGGACAAAACCATAGCCTTTCTATGATAAAACACTACTGATACTAATGTAGGGTTAACAGAAAAACTCAGAAAGATCAGATAAATCCTATGGCTCACTGATATCTGAACCAATTCTTACTTTTTAAATTGTAACATAAATTAAATACAGCATAAAGCGTGGAGAAGAGCCTCTTTCAGCATGGAAATTCTTTCAGGTCTTCATGTTACACCAGGAAAGTGGAACTCATATAGGTACTTCAGAGCTTCTTAGTGTGCCAGCTCAGTTGGTGACAATTGTGTAAAAAAATGACTGTCCTGGATCCAAACATCCATGAGCACCAGATGCTCAGGGTCCATGTGCTTGTGCTGCCTTCCACCTGGGATTATCTGAATCTGCCTGAGGCACCTGCTGACACCAAGGCTTTCAGACCCCCTGCTCACAGGCATGGAGGGAAGGGGCAGATAAGGGAACAGATGGGTCTTGAAACACCTCCAGAAAGAGCAAATGCAGGCTTCTGTGACCTACTGAGGAAACACATTTCAAAGGCAAGATGCCTTGAGAAAGAATACTTTGCCAATAGCTCAAGCCAAGTTTCAGCTGACTGCTGACCTCAGCAGGACCACAGGGGTTTCTCCCTCCTCTGGAAAACACTCAGGGCCTTGAAGTCTCCCCTGTGCACTGACAGCTAGAGCTGAACCAAATGCAATTTTTCATCCTCTCAAAAATGAATAGTGAGGTAGAGACAGAAAGCCATCAGTCCATGTAGGGTTAAAAAAATTGCGTTTTTCCTTACAGGAAAGAAAGTGATTATGGTGAATTGTGTAGGAGTAGAAGTACATGACTCATGATTCGTTATTGCAGTGC